ACAGTACATTTATTTGTCTTTCATATCATTGTCTTTTGATCACTCAAGTAATAAAAACAATGATCCCATTTGACTGAGAAAAAAAAAAAAACTTAGAACACCTGTATGGATTTAGACTTTATTAATAGAGCCATATACATGCAAGCAGCCACAGCAGTGGGAAGTTGTAGCAACCGCAAACTGAAGGTGAGTTTCGCGATCTCAGCAAGAAAGGACCGCAATCTATGTACTAAGCAGCATCTTATTGACGGATTCGATAGGTAGCGTGAGTCTCGATTTTAGAGTCTGAAAATGAAAATTGTATGAAAGGATCTGAACTCTCGAACAAGCGCCTCGAGTGAGGTGGGAAATAACTTGTTCCTGCTTTTTCTAGAGTTTGATTGAAGAACGCAAAGAAGTGGCAAGGACATTCGTCTTCTATTGCACAAGAAATTTGGCTTTGAATCCGGCACCTGCAGGCAAAGGCACCTGATTGAAAAGTAAGTTTTCCAATCATTTTTTTCCGTCATCGCTCCGAGGGTTTTTCATGTCCATTTTAATGAGTTTTTGTTCCTGTACAAAAACGAGCACGCAACTTTCAAATTGGGCCCTACTGTAAATCCTGAGCATTAAAAACGAGTTTTTTTAAAACTCTTGGCTTCCCGTGGGTTAGCAAATAAACAATTATCTTTTCTTTTCATTCATTTTTTAATTTCTCCATGAAAATCCAGTTCTACTATGTTATACAACCTTGTCTAACAGACTTCCTTAGTGCAATTGGGTGGTAACTTAATTTTGCGAGCAAAATACATCAAACGCAACCTAATAGAAACGGTCGCATGACTTTGGCAACAAACGGCAAACGTCAAAAAATTGAAATTCTTGAGTGTTGCTGTCAGTCGTTTGCACTCCAAAGTAAGAATATCGCAGAAGTTATGAAAACGATATTTTTTGTTATTTTTTACGGGATTAGATAATTGAGAAGGTGAGCAAAATCAGGGTTACTATCCGCCGATTTCCAAAGTCGTAAAAGTCGTGATTAAACTCAGTACTGCTAGCGTTCACCGTGAGAGCAGGCTGTGAGAGACTTGTTCACTGATTTTATATTGACTTAAATTTCGTGCCCTTCTCTACTTAAGTCAGAAAAGTTTTGATTGTGAATAAGAGAGATATTGCTACTGAAGCTGTCATTGGTTAAATAAATTTAAGACCCACAAAAAGAAAAAATTAATTACAACAGAACATCCGTTAAAAAAAAAAAAAGATAAATGGGCAAGCACAAAGTATAACATACAGAGATGACACATTTCGTGCATACTGGCCCGATAGATAATACATAAGCCTTTATTAAGCTGAGTGGGCCATGCAACGAGATCATGAGCTTTCCAAATTAACCTTAACAGCAGAGACTTGAAGATGCCATGTTATATAATGTGTAAACTTGCTCCTTTTTCGACAATGATGGACGCTTCATATCACTTTTCTGACGTTTTCTGTCCTCTCGAGCAAACATGACTTATTTCAACGCATAAGTCATGTAATCAAGAGAGATGTAAAAACTAATTGAAAGTTGTGATAAAAACAGTCGTTCACGGGCAACAAAGATGTTGACGAAAGAATCTAATCCGAAACTCCATTAAAATTTTTCCTGAGCGTTTTAGTTTTTAAGGAAATTAATCCACAAACAGATTCGTGGCACTAAGAAATTTAAAAGAATGGTTTTTACACTTGCGAAAGAATATCAATCGTTTTATCATTAAAACTTATAATTCGAGTCCACAACAGGTGGGAAGTGAGAAATGACTGCATGAACATGTAACTTCAGTGTTACCGAACTTCTTAAGTATCCATGGCAAATCTGAGTTCAATTGTTTATGGCTATAACTGTTATATCAAATTTATGCCAAATGGCTATGAATTTCAAATTATTCCTGCACTAAATTAATTAGATTGGTTGTAATGGCCTCAAACGACAACTTAGAAAGACGGAAAAGAGACTAGTTTTGAGAAATTAAGATATAACTCCTTGAGTAAAAATCATTCTTCATCGTATAAGTTGCGGTTCACTTTACAGGTAGGTACTGCTGTAATATAATCAGGTATGTGTTTTAACCTAAACAACGCTAGTCTCAGGTTATTTCAGTGAAACTCAAGGTAAATGATTGATTCCAAAAAGAAACTTGTTTACAATTCATAATATTACTACCCGACCATGATTCAGATTGAACCTGAAAATAATCTGTAACAAATACTCAAGTAATTGTCATTGGACTTCAAAGTGACGTGTTGACTCGAGAGAACTAAATGAAACGTGACATTTAAAAAAATTGATCACATTCATTGCGAAAGGCCTAATAATGATTTATCCCTCGACCACAGAAACTTTTTGCAAGGCAACTTGACCATCCGTGCTACGATCATAGAAATTTCTAACTTGACTGATGGAGAATCACTGTATCATGATTCTGGGCATATTTCAAATTAAAGTCGATGCAAATCGAAGTTTCCAGCAGACATAGTGGAATTCACATCGGATGGACCTGAGAATGGGTGAATAGGAAAAAAACAGTTTCTAAATGAAAACTAGGGTAGTTGACCAGAGTCATTTTAAGATAATTCCAACCGATAAATAAGAAATTTGTTGGTACAGTCTGACATGACTAGAATTGCGGTTGCTTCGGCGCTGAAGGAAAAATAGCTCACGGTACCCTTCAAGTTGGGAAAGAAGTCATTCCTTTACTCCTTCACCCTTTAATTCGAATAAGTGACCAAGAAACAATTTCTCCTTAAAATATCAATACAATATCCAGCAGACAAGTGATGAGAATAAAGGAAAATATCAATTAGGGGATTATAAGTTGATCCGATATCAAATTCTCCAGACTAGCATCATAAGAATAGTGTGGCAGAATGTAAAGAGAATTACCAATGAGATCGAAATGAGGGTTGAAATGGTTAAATTATGATTGTAATTATGACTAAAAACAAACAGAAACGTCAAGAACACTCTCTTTATTAGAAGTGCATCAATTCTTCGTTAACGGAAAAGAGCTGCTTCTTTGTAAAGAGTATTCATTTTTCCATTCAAGATGTACCAAGAACTCAGCATGAGAGAAATTATTTCAATTGATATTAAGAATTAATGAATTTGTGCTCCTGATTTCGAAATCACTTAAACATCTGTTAAAATGCCGAGCAATTGTTCGATCTTTGAAATCATTGCAACTTTAAATTCAAATTTTTTCTGAATCAAAAAATTTCTGGGAGCTTATTGTCATGATTATACTTGGTATAAATCGTAAGAGAGAAAACACCTCTCCTCCTGGATTGACATTTCGTCAGCTTAAATAGAGAAATCAATACTTTGTTTTGATTTTCTTTGATTTCAGCAAACAAAATTCTGTTATTTATGGCAACACAACCTCGGAACAAAGAACCAGACCATTAACAATTCGATTACGTTAGTCAGTAGGTAGCTTGTGCGAATCAGGTTGAAATAGAGAAATTAATACTTTGTACTGATTTTCTTTGATTTCAGCAAACAAAATGCTGTTTATTCAAAATATCGAAACAAAGAACCAGATCATTAACAATTCGATTGGGTCGGTCAATAGTTAGCTTGTATGAATTCAAGTATACTCTGCGATAGTATGGAGCGACAGGTCGGAAGCAAACTGAGAAGTGATTAGTTAAAAAAATGCGCTTCTTCAATGTGTTCAGCAAATTCGGCGGTAAGCTCCTTGTGCATACTTCACCGAAGTAAACACAAGCTTCATTGTTACTAAAAGAAAGGCTTGTTAATCATTCGCTAACGTGCCTTTCTCTTTATATATCTGAGGGTGATCCAAGATTCCTAAAAGTAATCGGTTGAAATCAAACTAAGATTGCACAATAACAAGAAAAGCATTAACACCTCCGGGTTCTAAAAAGATTAGAAATCTGCGAAAATCGTTTTTAAACTACTGCTTAATCACAGCTCTTTATCTCTTGCAATATTTATACACTTTTCTTAATTCGTCATGTATGGATTAACGCGCCCAAAACACTGGTGGTTTAAAATCAAATGACGTCCGTAGCCGCTAAACATTACTATGCAAATTGTCGCACTGTTGATGGACAAAACCGAATATTAGCTCAGTTTCCTAGCTGTGAACGTGAAGTTTAGAAAATTTCAATTAACGTTCCCTTGTCATAGATGGAAAAAATAATTAAATTTCTCTGTTCTGATCTTGATGAAAATTAAATTATGAAAAGATTCAGATATCCTCGCTGTTGCTTGAGCATGCATCCTTTTTCCTAGCAGGAAAATCGCACGATTAAAAATTTTCACGCTCAGAACCTATCAAAGGTAAGTTCTGCTGAAAACAAACGTAAAATGTAACGCATTAAATCGGTAACAACTCCAAATCAAAAATGTGTTATTCCTTAAATCTCAATCAAAGTTTTTCGAAAACTCCAGAAATTTCCTGACCAGAATAGATTGTAGAGAAAGGAAGCAGTTGATTTTTTTTAAAAAGAACTGTGAAGTGATTTGCATAATTTTCCTCCCAAAATCAGTTTTCGTAATTTCCTCTGATCTAAGAAATAACAATTTTGTTCAGATTGCTTTTTCACTGCCAATTAAGCGTGAAAATAAAGCCAGTGAGAATGACAAACAGTTTAAATAGTTCAAACAACCGTCTTTCCAAAAGAAACTTTATTATTTTGTCAGATCAATTTTCAGCTTTCTTTTTAATACTTCAAATTGAATATTACTTCTGTTTAGAACAACATTTGACATCAGTAACATTGCAATCCGATTGGATCTCGACGAAGGGTATTTATAAGTATCGTATTTTTCGTGACACATTATAGTATTGAATTCTGCTGTGATTAATGAATTTCTGACTTCAACATTTGTAGTTTGATTGATAAAGGTAATTGCTGGTCTATTCTTTACACCTTTTCACAATCGTAGGTAATTGACTAGATGAAGACTGGATGAAAAGATAACAATACATACAACGTTGAAAACGTTTCACTTAAAAACCGCCTGACGACGGCGCCGCATAGATTGCAACAGAGGAGAAACACCGACGCTTGGACAAAGATGTGTGTTCGCAGTTTAAGTTTTCTTTTTACCAGCTTTCACGTCTTTCATCAGGTAAGCCGCCCAGTTCCAATCATGCCACAAATATGATCGCATTATTTAAATAACTATTCTCTAAAATGACATTCATAACAAGAATCAAAGGCGAAACGTTCCACGGGTATGACTTTCCTTTTCTGAGTACAAGTTTCCGCGGTCTCGATTATTTGAATTCGCTTCGCTTCGTGTGACATTGTAAAAAAGTTTGTCGGTGTGGTTAGTTTTATTCCTATTCTCAATTGAAGAATTATAATTTAAGTTTTGCCTTGATTATACTTTAGAGCTGACCGATTTATGGTAAACTTGCAATAATAAAGATATTTTGACTCGTGACACGAAAGTTCTTATCCTGGGACTGATAAATTCCAATTTTGTTTCTACCCCCTTGATTCATTCAAGTGCTTTTAGGGTTACGTCATTTTTACGATTGCTTCAAAAATAAAAGGTTCCACAAAGTTGATTTGCCAAATTTTTAAACCAAGCCATAGACTTTTCCGTAAAGTTTCATGAATTTATCCAATACAGTACTCATTTTCTATCGCGACTACGACTATGTAAGATAAAGTTAGATCGAAGCTTGCAGGCCACGAGATAAGGACGAATTGAGTCTAATGTTTTGGTTCGAGTTTGAGAGAAACTTTAGACGCGCAATATTCCAATAACTGAAGAAGCATTTCTCAAGTCTTTTACGTAATGAACTGGGCGAAAAGTTCAAGATTTAGGTCACCCCTGTAAGGATATTGCTTGATTTATAACAATCTTAATATGTTATAATTTGGCACAGCTCGCTGTTCAATCGTGGTGGGATATAATTCTCCAGATGTATTTACTGGTAGGGTTTCAGAGGATTGTTAATTCGTCGAAATTATTCGATAGTTACACTACAAAAAACAAGTGGAACTTTCTAAAGGTTAGAGTTCATAGGAATGACTTATTTTAATCTGCCAATGGAAAGGTGAGTATTTAATGTTACGAAGGCATGTACGATTTGTCGAACAATGCTGACTCAGAGAGTGGGTTTGGATACTAAATGTCAGTTCTTTTGACCAGTACAATCGACATTTTTGGCGGATTTACCAGACAAGAGCTTGCTGAAATAATAGTTGACGATAGAATTGTGTTCATGTCGATGTTGGTGAGAAGAAAGCCCGCAAATGATTCTCAGCATTTCGCTTTCGATCTTTTATTTCGAGATGACAAGACCATTACGCGTGTACCGCAATGACTGATTCCGATTGCGTTTTTTGTTCTTTTTTCTTGTCATTCTGTCAAATTAAAAAAAAAAACCCTTTACTTAGCATGATGTTAAGAAATAACTGAAATACTACGGGTGACCATATTGGTCAAAACCTTTCGTTCATTGAACCGGTAAACTTGAAACTGTTTGACTAGAACAATAATTTATATTCTGTTTACTTACGTAATAACTTAGGCGGAATCTTAAGAGGCTTTGTGAATCAAGACCCGAAGGCGGGGACAAGTTCGGTTCAATAAACATTGTAATGAAAAATATTGTTCCCAAATTGTGTTCTAGAAAACAAACAGGCTTTGTTATATTGTTATTAATTTGCTGAAAGGTCTAGACAAGTTCAAATTTGTCGTAAACATTCATGATTTACATTTAAGTTTTTGAAAGTGTTTGTTTTCTTTTTTTTGTCCAAAATTGTGTAAAACACCTCTGTAATAACTCATTGATGGTTTTGTCTTCAGGAACTAATTTTTACGAGAAGTTAGAAAATCAATAGAAGTTATTGGTTCTGGTACACTGAGAATTCAAATGAAAAAGGCCTTTTGTGGGTAATTCTTATAGTTTTAATCTCTAAATATTTTACAGTTCGAACGAATCCTGCAATTTCTTCCATAAAATTGTCGGCGTTTTAGAATTTGTCCCAACAAGACTAAAATAAAGTACTCAATATTGCATGAAGCTTTTCAAAACCTGTGTCACTTTAAAGATTCTGTTTATTGTTGTCAATCGACTCAACCTCAGGAACAACGCTATTGCAAACGTACCTGACTTATAATAACTGAATCGAAGAAAAATATAAAAGGGACAAAAGCTTATTTAGTAATGAAATATTCGAGTCGTTTTCCTCTTTATTCTGGAATTATCTAATCACAAATTTTATAAGCCATTTTTTAATTTGGAGAGTCATTAAATCCACGCCGAAGACATTTTCTCCGTAATTACTTGTGTCACTCCACTGTTTAACAAGTGGAAACTTGACGCAGCAAGAAAATTGCTTGTAATCAACATCCGAAATTCTATGAATGGCCTTATTTTCAATCACATTTACCTCATTATGACATTTTGAAAGAATTGGCTGGAACTTTTTCCGAGCGCACGTTCAAATTTTATGGTACATTAGCTTTATGATACTGTTATGCGTTATTTTTTTTAAAATTAAAATTGAATAATTGTAAATGTTCGAGTTAAAATGCCCAATTTCACTCCGAAGCCTCGCTTTCGAGGTGCGACCTGATTAGTTTTACAGAAAAGTGTTCCCCATACACTGAAATCAAAAGAATGTTGACGCATAAACACAAGGAAGTGGTAAAGATTCATGAAAATTTCAGGGAAAACGTAGACTACGAGCAGTTTCTCCTTTTCGGCGAGGTTCGTAGCGCTAGCCAAAAAAAATCAGTGTTAAAAATATTGATGTTAGCGAGCTACGGGGAGCTCTTGGAGTGACGTTGATGCACCGCGAGACTCATTGAGCGAGGCAATCAAGAAGGGAAAAATTAATGTTTAGTGTTTTGTGGGATGTGAGCAAAAATTAATAAACGAGCCATATTTCACTGAGTGTCTTTTGAAATGCTTCTTTCTGTTACTTTTTGAAACAGATATTGAGTCTCCCATCAAATGAAACTGTCAACTTACCACCAGAATCACCAGGTAAGTCACCATCTCCTTTTTTTGTTTTGTTGTTGTTGTTAATGTTGTTGCTTTTAGTTTGAAATTGTAATCGTTTCCCTTTTAGGCAATTTGCTCCTGGGTTGTTATGAAGAGCAAAACAGTGAGTCGAACTTACAGAGACTCGATTCACCAACACCCTCGCCCTATAAGTGTATCGAGACGTGCGCGCATGCAAAATTTCCGCTGGCTGCAGTGCTCAAGGTCACGGAGTGTCACTGTGCAAACGACAGTGTTCTTCCAATGATCATGAAGTATCCTTGTAGCTCACCTGCCGCAGCGAGAAACTATCTACTTTACAATACCAGCTGCCTTTCTACAGTATCCGTTGAACTATATCAGGGATTAACGTTCACAGCATTTCCATCCAAGATAACGCCATCAATCTCCTCTCCTGTCACTCAATCAAGTGTGACAGCAGCACATTCACTGTCAAAATCACTGCTTTATCTCATTGATTTTGGAGATGGTACGAGTAACAAAACTTGGCGAGAGGGATCAATCCTGAGACACCATTACATCACTCCCGGCGAATTCAACATCACTTTCGTGGCTTCTCGTGGTAACTCGACAGTCTTCATGTTGTCACGCAAGATCCGGGTTTCCTTCCTTCGAGTATCTAGTACCTGGTGTCCTCACGTAGAACCACTCACTGATTTCTATTGTAAGGCATATAAATTCAGTGGAAGCGGCGTTACCGCATTGATGTCACTGGGCAACTTAAATCAAACTGTATCAATTTCAATCCCAGGTATGACTCGTAATGGTTTACATGACAAAATACACTTAAAAACACGAAACACAACCTAGCAGCCTAAATACCCGGGTTTGGGACCAAATATCAGTGGCAAACATAGAAATTCGAGGTAACTGATTGATTTTCCTTAAATATTACATAGCCTCATTTACTAAATTTCCAAAAGCTGAGACCAACTTTGAAAGTCATGTGGGTTCTATGAGCGGAACATTATTTAAAGGAAAAAAACAAAGAAAACGTTAGTCATGAATAGACAAATTTAATTTTTGTTATTACTAATATGGTACATTACCATTTGCTGGTTTTCTTCTAGACGTGCCACGTGTAATTTTAGGACATACGGGACCTTCCCTGACCAACCAATCGGATGCCAAGAAAAGAGAAGCTGGCCTGTATTTATTCCCATCTCTTCATTTTCTATCGAACATAGAAGTAGAGACTTGGGAGGTACATGCTGAGCAGCCTGGTCTCATCCATTTACAGGTTAGCTCTCGATCAGTTAAGTAAGTGCTTTTTAGTTTAAAAGCTCTTACTTGTTAAGTTGTTTCTATCGGCTTGTTTTGTTGCACTTGTCATTTTTTTCAATGCACATTTCACCGCAATCCTCAACGGTTACTTCTTTACTTAGATTTACAGGGCGGCATTGAACCTTACGGGCTGTTCATGGTACCGACGAACTCAATCATCCTGTGGGAAATGGGCCCCAACTAGCGATCACTGCAATACGGTGTGCATCGATGTACATTACTGGCAGTATAGATCCATCATGCCTTGCGGGCAAAGACGCAGCAGTTATATTAAAGTGTACAGTGTGAAAGCCAATCTTACGGTGGGTTATAACTTGATTGTTATACCAAAGGAACAAAGGTTTACTGCACGGGTAGGAGACATTGTGGGCTTCTACAGAAATTTGTCAGGAGCTGTGCTGCGACGAATTACCGCTGAGCAAGATGAAAGTGTTTATTTTATTCCAGCGCGGAATATGTCTAATGTTTCCATACATCTTTCAGGAGCCCAGCCTATGAAGCTATCTTTTGATATAAAATTGCACGGCTCACTTGGCGTGGGAGTTTCGATCGTTTTTTCATGTTTAGAAAAGGCTGGACTCTATCCTCTAATAACGACTTTTACCAACGCTATCAGCTCCCATAGAGTGATAACGTTCCGATCTTCAATTACGGTTCAAAACCCAGTGGCACCTTTGCGCCTGTTATATGAAGAGTTCATTGAAGTAAATACCACAAAAAACATTACCGCGACGGTGGAAGAAGGCACTAATGTAACGTGTGAATGGTACATTCCTAACTCAAGTTTGACGGTACATCAGTCTCCTTATCTTAAAAACAACAAAACCACCGAGGGAGGAGTTTTCCAGTACATTGCTTTGTACAGCTATCTTGGATATGTTTACGTAAAAGTGACTGCATCTAATCTTGTCTCTCAAAAGAGTGAAGATATCATTCTTTCTGTGCGTCAGCCGATAAAAGGTTTGAGAGCGAGCTTGTGTCATGCTGCGTTTGCGTTTGAAAAAGCGGAAACGTGTTTTGTTTCCGACGCGACGCAAGGCACTGAAGTCGGATGCACGTGGGAATTTGGGCCAGATGATTACACCGCGAGGGAGATGGGTAAAACTGTCAGTCGTGTATTCACGTCAGAAAGCCAAACGAATTTTACTCTGCACTGCTATAATAAGATCTCACGGTCGTCTGTCCCTCACTCTATTCAAGTTATTCCAAATCCATTGTCCATTAACGCCCCTATGAACGTCCAAGCTGGTGTTCCCGTGAAAATAACTTGTCAAGTGAATTGGCCCGGGGGGATACCAGCCTTATTCTTTGAGCAACAGGGGGTGAAGGGGATGAGGGGAAGTGACATTGTGGCAGATCCTCTGTTAACACTGAGGGCGTCTGGGTACAGCAACAGCAGCAAAGGCAATGTGACAATGTTTCAAAGTTTTAGCAGAGCTCTATACAGACGACACAAAATAACGTGCAAATCTGTTGGTTATCCTGACTTGAACATTGATCACGAATTGAAGGCAATTTACAGTGTAAAAGGAATAAACATCTCTTCGGACTGTGCTTTACAAGCCGAGATCAGAACGAAATGCGTATTTTACGTTCAACTCTTTCGCGGTGATTTTCCGGTATTTACTTGGAAAATCCGAGAATCTGACAATTATTCAACTGTCTCTGTCTATAAAGGAAAGAAAATCACCCATCGCTTTGTCAACACAGGAATAGCAAACATTACCGTTAACGCGAGTAATGATGTGTCCTTCCGCACAAAAACAGTCCAAGTCTTTGTGTATTCAACCCACACGCACAGTACAACTGTGACTGGGTCGCCCCCTCTTCCTGTCTATCAGTCGTCCACACTTTCAACAACCACATCACTTTTACTTCCGAGCTTTAACAGCGTTATTTCTTCGTATTCAACCTACAGTGCAGAGGCAGTCACGTCCATAAGACCTAGTGTTACCGTTTATAAATCTTCATCGGTAGACCGACATCAGGTGACTTCGCTAGAGGATGTCACACTTCGTCACGCTTCTGTCGGTTTGGTTGGTCAGGCAATCGTCTTCTCTGTAGAACATTTTACAAATCCTCATCTTTTACACTTTATGTGGAACTGGGGTGATCGATCAAGCTCAGAAAAAGCTGGATCTACTTTATCGCACACCTTTCATCATCCGGGACAATACTTCATCACAGTGAATATTACCTCTGCGGTTGATAATGTGGTGTTAGCTGGTCACGTGAGCATCCAGCATCGCCTTAGTGATTTGCGTATCAGACACTTAGCTGTGATGTCATCCAACCTCTTGCTTTTGGAATTTGAAATTCTGCAAGGAGACAACGTCACATACTCGCTTGAATATGGCGATGATAGCGGTGAGAAAATCATACATGCTATGAATTCATGGAATTTTCCTCAACAGGTTTCAAACATCGCCCAAGCGAGCTCGAAATTACTTCATTGTTATTCTCTGAAAAGGTTACGTCTCAAACTGAAACTCATCTTAAAAATGCTCACTGGCAAGTATGAACGTTATCGCCCTAGAAAAGCTATTACCATCATAACTAAGGAGAGCTTTATATCACCAGGATATGCCAATAAATTAAAAAAAACCGAGAGTTCAAAGCAAGTCGTATGATTTGATAACCTAGCCGGGCTTTAAACTTTGACCTCTTACATACTCTTTTCTGCATTCGCAAAACACCTAGCCTGGCAGTTTGGTTCAACGTGGAGAAGGGAGAGACACTCACGTCCACACCTTTTAAGGATGATAACACATAAACAATTTATCATTTTATAACTTAAAAATTGTTATCTTTACTGATGTAAGAAATGATCAATATTCTGTTAAAAGAAACTTAGTCACACCAGATTTGTACTAACAAATACTATATGTTTTCTTCCAGAGAAGCAAGTGGGATTTTTACGAACGTTACCCAATTTTGTGACAGTAACTCACCAGTACAATGAGCGTGGCATCTATCGTTTGTCCGTTACAGCCAACAGTGCTGTCGGCCCTAGTATTTCAGTGCAGCAGTCGGTTTACATCAGTGAACTACCGTGTATCATACATGAACTACGCATGCTTGGTGCTGGAGATAACAGCAGTCACTGTCCTGAGATTGAACAAGAGTACGCATATTCACTTTACTCTTCTCTGAAAATAAACTGCTCGAAATACGAAGAACTAGAATATACGTGGAAGATAGACAATATATTGAACGATACCGTCACCAGGGTTGTCCCGTTATCGAAGGAAGTTCTGTCTTCGAGCGCACTCTTTCTCGAATCGCAATCACTCAGGAATGGTCTTTACAAATTTATCCTGTCAGTAACTGCAAAGCCTCATGGGATATCGAAATCTGTAATTGGATTTCTACGAGTGCGCATGCCGAAACTGCTGGCTGTCATAGACTGTGGGAGCAAAAGAGTTATGCCTTGGAATCAAGACATAATTTTGAATGCTTCTTCGTCACGTGACCCAAATGAGTTGTGCGACAGCCAAGGCAGAAGTGCTTTGTCATTTGAGTGGTTTTGTGACACCAATCGTAATGTCTCTTGTTTTAGTGGATCAATTGATAACAGAGGGCCCGCTTTGGTGTTTCCACCGAAGCACCTTGATCTCAATAGAAAATATAGGTTTGTTGTTGTAGTAACCAAAGGATCCAGAAAGGCTGAGGCAACACAAAGCATAGAGGTTATGTCGGGCAATTTCCTTCCACTTTGCGTCAGGTCGGTGGCAAGTTGTTATGTGCTAATCATATTAAACTTAATCAGAAAAGCAATGGGCTTGAATTGATATATTGCTTTAGTTTGTGCATGTTCAACTAGCTGATCTTTCTATTCGCAACACTGTAAGACAACCGATTAGAAGTACTTAATCGTTAGCATTAATCGTTAAAGGGCTTCATTCTTAATCGATTCAATCCATGATTCCGAGGCTGGTTCAAAGTCGTGTGCACCAGAAAAAACCATGAACTGCATAAATAATGACGCCAGTTAAGATCCCAGTGCGATCCTGGGTGAGTCAAAATCTCAGACAAGATTTCAAAATGTTGCTTATTGTAAAATCCTTTCAGAAAACGTTTAGACTGTTCAGGGACGGCGGATTTAAGGAAGAGGGGGCTTTTTCTCTCTTTCCCCACTTTTTACGAGGACGGCATTTTATTTTGTTTTGGTATAAGTTACATATGAAGTATAAAAAGGAAAAAAAAACAATCCTCCACAGATTATTCCCCGAGAACACGATAAAATTTTTAGGGGATGGATGGCCGCAGACACCCCCCCCCCCCCCCTCCCCGACAAACTCGTGCCTCCTGCATTTGTTTTCAGGCCCCCCGAATTGAAAATTTACTTTGCCGTCCCTGCTGTTATGTACATTCTGCCTTTCCATAAAGCGGATTTTCCTCCCACTGGCGTCCAAGTTTGGCTTAATTTTCTTAATAATCTAACAAAACTCTTTACTCTCTTAACTGCTTCTTTTTCATGCAGATGCAAGGAAAATTGCGCACACAAGTTAGTGCCCTCCAAAGAATTGGTCCTTGATGGTGTTGGTTGTCAAGACGATACGAACACAACCTGCATTTGGGAACTTTACGGACCTCCCCCAGCAACTGGGCGGATTTCAAAACGCTCTGTAGGTGAACAGTTAATCAGCATTTCTTACGCAAAACAGTTCCAGCTGGATCCGAGAAACTTGATTCCGAACAGGATTTACACAATACTCTTCAACAACGACAACAGCGGCTTCTCGGCGCAGTATTCGGTAATAACCGACATGTTTCCGACTAATGGATCTTGTTTCGTGTCGCCTTCGGAAGGCCAAGTAATCGAGACACAGTTTATCATCAGTTGCGCGGGTTGGAGGGACGAAGACAGCCCTCTTCGGTACGAGTTTTTCCTCGGAAATCCCGAGCAAGGACCGATGCTGCTGTACTACGGGTGGATGCCGTATTCCAACGGATTGTTCCTACCCCCAGGATCTAAGGATAATAATCACAACGTGGATCTGTTCGTGAAAATTTCAGACGTTCTGGGATCTTACAGAATCGTTCCCCTTCAAGTGAAGGTGTGCAGTTATGTCGACCATATAGAAATGGCTTTTAAAAAGACACTCTGTTACTTTGAATCAAGAGTCGAAAATCGTTTAACGTTTCGTTTTTCTACAGGTGACAGGTTTTGGTGCCGAGGCTGATTCTGTTAGCTCAATTCTGAAAGGAATTGTCTGCGGACCTGACTCTATGCTGGAGAAACTTCTCAAGGTCGGAGAATTCCAACAAGCGACACAGCTGATGACGACCGTCGTCACGGTTTTAAACTCGGTTTCTTCTCAAGAGCTAGCCTCTGATTCTGCCGACATAAATGACCGTGTGGAGGTTGGTACTGAAAACCTGTGTACACTCACACAAGCCTTGCACTCGAATTTAAGCTTGAATATGAATTTTGGATTTTGCAGTTTAGTACTAAAGCAAGTGTGTTCATTTTGTATCGTGTCTATTTAGGTCCGAAGTACAGTGATCGCTAGACTTTCTCAGACGTGCTGTAGTAGTCCCCAGAGTATCAGACAAGCTTTAGATGGAATCCTTCAAGCCATTGGAGTAACCGCTGAACTATCACCTGAAGCTCTGGTGAGAAGCATTAATTTAAGTCCGTATAAGTTTCCTTTTCCGCTCAAACGCTACCAAAATTTCCCTTCAAAAATCAAACCAAGTTAAAAAAGGCTTAACGTAGGAAAGACGCAAAAGGGGTGAGCAGGTAGGGGAAGAAAGCATTGCCCAGTTACGCCGTTTTTGCGCGTAAGGGAAACCCTAGTCTCGAATAAACCCCTTCCATTCAAATATAGACTAAGCAACTAGAAAAAACATCAAAAAACGCTAAACTAGCATTTCATCCATGCAGTATTAAGGAAACCGGGAAAATTTCTCTCAGTGATATAAGTCAGACGTGTAAGCATACGATTCCTATAGAAAACAGAAGTGGTATATTTGGCCAACTTAATTGAACATTAAAGCTTTAGAAGGCTGTTTTCACTGTCACAATCAAGCGTAGCTTCGATGCAGATTCTCAAGCTTATGAGTTAAATTTTCAACCTCGCCCTGATGGTGCACCTCATTGCATTTCTTTGATATCATTTTAAGGAGGATAGTGCAATTGTTCTCTCAAACATGGCAAAAGCATTGGTTATTAAATTCAAGAGCTTCCAAGCAGCAAACGAGGCTCGGGAAATTATTCGAGGCTTGAGCATCATCTTGGAAGCGTCTGTGTCTACAAGCAATGAAGTAAAACGCCAACAGAATTCTGGTGAAATCAAAGACTGGATTGATGATAGCAATGAGGCAAGAAACAAAGACCACCAAGAAAAGGTAAGGCTTCTCTTATATTTTAACACCTTCCCCTTTTAAGTGTTCCCTAAAAAGTGATCAGAGCTATTTTCATTGTACATGTTGCATCAGTTTGCTTCACGGCGCTCTGTGAATGATTCCTAACATTTACGAAATATTCACATGAAAGAGGAACAAATCTTACATAAATCAGGACTTGGTTATGAGCGTTTTCCTGCGCTTGAGATCGGCCACTTGACCTTTTTACCTGTTCTTCCTTTGCATCTTGAGCGCTTCTTGGTTGAATGGAGCTAAACCCAAACTATAGCAGTCATAAAAGCAAATCAAACTAAAAGTTGGCATCAGGAAGAGCTAATGGGAACTCGAAGCAAAAATATTGTGAGCTTGTAATTTTTTTAAAGGGCACTACCACTTGAGCAAGGTATTTTTTTTTAAATACTACAAAACAATCCAGTTATAGGATATTGAAATTTTTTACTTCAGTGTGAACAAGCCACTAACAAGTCCCTAGAGGGTGTCAATTATGCTGCGCAAAAACTATTGGACTATCAACGCAAGGGAGATCCTCCGAGTCACGTGTCCTCAAGCTTGATGAAATTGACCCTTACTCGCCAGTCTCCTAGCGACATAAATGACGCGGCGCTGAACGGAGGAGAGGTCACTTTTCAAATTCCGCACGAAGTAAAGAAAGACAGACTTAGTTCTTTCAATGCAGTCAATACAAAGGTCAGTTTGAAAACCATTCAACACGATTCCTTTGAAATTATACAGGTGGTATAGGTGTACCTTACTTGAAACCAGCAGTTTGATTAATGTATTGGAACAGAGGAGATCGCGCAATCTGAACCGGTGAAAACCTCGAGGCACAATTATAACCGATTTTGATTTTGCACTTGAAAAGTTTATTGGAACATTGAAATTGTTCTTTTTGGGATTCACTTTGTGATAATTTTGATTCTCTTTGGCACGAAAAAGTTAATGATAATTTTGAGCCAAAATGAACCAACCAAATGCTATCAGATTCTAGTGTGGTTCCGATGTAAGCCATTCCTCCCCTTTTTTTTTAGCAGTTTCTACCCTCTTCTATTAATCACTTTATCATTGTAGGTGATAACCATGTCCCAGACCCCGTTTATTTCAAACGACGCCACTCCTATTGATACACCAGTGTCAACACTTGAGCTTTTGGAGACTTCTGGAAAGGAAATCCAAATCCGGGATCTAACAGAGCCTGTGTCCATATTCCTGTCGCTAAACCAATCACAGATTAAAGATCGTAACAATATGAATGGTATCATTGATCCTGAAGAGAACATCACGTTCTTCAAGATCGATTCCGATAACAAAAGCGCACTTTACTTTACAATAAACTGTTCTGGGGTCACGAGCGGCTACAAACTAATCATTACTGGAAGGAGAAACTCGAAGCCTAGCACCGACACCTTTGACTTCCAATGGATTATCACCTCGTGTAACACCACTTTAAAACGACTCATATCGAGAAAGTATTTAAATACTTCGGAGAAGCTCTACCTCGGTGTGAAATTGAAGGCAGAAAGAAATGAAACAAATATCACAGCTGTGATAACTAAGATACGATATGGCGTATCTGTAATGGCCATCGGCTGTTATTACTGGAGCGAGAAAATGCAGGCGTGGACCACAGATGGTTGTGAGGTAAATGGGCTGGGGGGAGGGAGGAGACGGGGGTGGTTACCCAACACTTTCATTAGTTCTGATCCCTATCTCTGACGTAGATGCGGTCATGACTCACTGACACACATTAGTCCCACATGTATCTTGTATTATTTTGTGTCACGCTATCACCACGATGACATCCTGATAGCCTGACACAAATTGCCAAACCAGTTAGTTCGGTTGGGCGACATTATCAAGTGTTTTTTTCGCGCAAAATAGCTTCCATGAGGATATCTCAACACGACACAGCCATTGCTGTTTTAGTAAATATGAGAACTGATATTGTGGTTGAAGAGAAACTCTTTGCGAGAACAGTCGTTTCATTCGTTTGCAATGACTGATCACACAAATGTGTTGATTTCCCCATGAGCAAGTTTGTGCATTCACTGCTTGTGCAAGATTTGACGAAAGGTCAGTCAATTTGATGAGCTATGAGCTACAAACCTCAATTCATTCAGAAATTTGTTTGTCAGTCGTAGAGTTGCACCCCTAGACATAATTACTTGGGACACTTTTCCAGAACAACGCGTACGATGTTCTCCTGCTTCCTTTCCCCTTAAAATATTTTCAATTGCAAATGGTTCCATGGCATCTTGCGGAACAACTTTGAGAGTAACAGGGAAGGAAGTAAATGTCCTAAAACGTGTGTCTGGAAATGTAGCAAGTTCGTTTAGGCATGCTAATCAAAGGGCTTTTAATTTATTGAAAAACGTACAGGACGCACGTGGTACAGACAGCATCTCGACGTTTTTTAGTTCTTTCTTAATACCATAATATAGACTATGTAATTGGTGCAGGTAAGTAAATCCCAAATTATCATTTCAGATTATCATCAGCCAATCGCAAACTTCATAAACAATGTGAGAAGCATAAACACAGGATTATGTTAAAAACGTTTTTTTTTAAAGGTTGGTTCAATGACCACATCAGAGCACGTTGAATGTCGTAGTAATCACTTAACGTGGTTTGGAAGCCGTGTTTTCGTTCCTCCCAATAAACTTGACCTGGATATCATAGCCAGCAGAATATCAGACCCCTCAAACTATGCCCCAGTCCTTTCTGTGCTCTGTGTCACGTTTGGTTTGTACTTCTTGGTTGTCATCTGGGCTCGTCGCCAGGATCGTAAAGATAAAAATAAGGTATTGGTAGAGGACACAAAATTGAATCAACTTTTTTGTGTGAAGCTTCTTTAGAAGAGTGCTATCAAATGGAAATCGTTTCCTTTAGCTTCATAGCAATTACCGCTGGTTGTTAGAAACAGATGATCGAGTAAGCTAAAATTTTTTGGCATAAGGATGTACTTTTCACGAAAATGCGTCACTTAGGCACAAGGGACATCTGTCGATAGGTAACAAATAAACATAAACATTCAGCGCGTCAAATTACGATATTTTATCCGTTAGCCCCAGCCAACGTGTCGAAACGTGTTAGTGTCCTGTAGAGAAGGGGATGGGCTGAATCAAGCAGATATTAGAGTTTCATCGTTTCCATCATTACTCCTACAGACAGGCTTAACTTTGAGCCCGAGCAACAGACCAGGAGACACACACGCCTACGAGGTTGTCATTTGTACTGGCATGCGCAGACACGCTGGAACAACTGCTAACGTTGCCATGACGTTAACAGGAGAAAAAGGCGAAAGTCATGCATTTCTGCTTAAGAGCAGTCACCGAGTGACGTTGGCTCGAGGTTGCATCGATTCGTTTCTTCTAACGACCCCAGAGACCCTCGGCGAGCTTTCGTATATCCGGATGTGGCACGATAACTTCGGTAAGGATCCGGCTTGGTTCGTAAAGCAGATATCCATACGTGAGGTTGACACTGATGGAATCTGGCACTTCGTATGTGAACGTTGGCTTGCAGTAGACGAAGGTGATGGTATGATTGATAGAATATTTCCAGTAACAAGTAACAAGGAGTTGAAGGAGTTTCGACGTTTGTTTCTGACTAAAGCTTACAATGACCTTACTGACTCGCACCTGTGGTTTTCGGTTGTGTGGCGGCCCGTCCAGTCCCCTTTCACACGGGTTCAGCGCGTGTCTTGCTGTCTGTCCGTTCTATTGTGTACCATGATGGCCAACGCCTTGTGGTACGAGAGTGAAAGTGGCCGTTACAATGCTGTCCAGTTCGGTCCTTTTGAATTTTCATGGGAGCAAGTTTCCATTGGAATATGCAGCAGTCTTATTGTGTTTCCAATCAATTTACTTTTGGTGCAGATTTTCAGACACAGCCGCCCGAAGCCTACACAAAATCATTGCTGCTTAAGGCCAAAACCCAGACCACGATTCTCGTCTATTCAAACGGAAATCACCACAGTGAAATTTGGATCTGGGGAAGGCTCTGCACTTTGTATCCATTCCGCTGGTCAATACCAAAGTGTAAGAAAATGCACTTCTCAGGGATCACCAAAATACGAAGATAAAGGATTTAGCCTGGAATCTGCTCTACGTTCTGCTCATTTTCCTGCTCTTTCAATATCTTTAGCAACAGAGACTCCTCCTGATTCAACCTCTGATTTAAGATCTCTGCTAACAAGATACTCTCCATCTCGGCAGTCACCCACAAACGACCCTGAGAAGTCGTCGAATGCACCGATTGCGGAACACCCTTCCCATAAGAAAGGACTGCCTTGGTGGTTTGTCTATATTGGATGGTTTTTGGTTATATTAACCTCTCTAACTGCTGCATCGGTAACATTGTTGTACGGGATCCAGTTTGGTCTCAAGAAATCCACACAATGGCTTCTATCCATGTTCTTTTCGCTCACACAAGATATTTTTGTAAGCCAGCCGCTCAAAGTTGTCGCTTTCGCTTTATTTTTCGCGTATATCTTTAAAAAGCCCAGCAAAGTCGCATTTTCGCCAAAATCACAACTAAAATTTGATGAAGAACTGTTGCAGAGGCAGCTTCAGGGTTTGGAAGAGGACTTCGAGGAACGCACCGAGGCCCCTCCTATCAAGGTGCCGACAGAAGACAGTATCAGGCGTGCCCGAGACAGGGCACAAAAACAACGCATGATGCACGCTATATTGCTTGATATAGGGACTTTCCTCGTATTCACATTACTTGTTCTTCTCATTGCCTATGGCTTCAGAGATCAAAGCGCTTTTCGTCAGAATGACGCTGTCGCCAAAGTTCTACTACAACAAAAATTTAGTGAGGAACCAGGGGGGTTTAAGCCGCAGAGATTCGCTCAGGTAAGTTTCGATTTGTCCTCTTTATCAAGGGCCTTACTTTGAATTAAACATATCTAAAACTATTTTGTCTTCCTCTATAGAAAAATTCCTTTAGTCAATTTTTGTCAACTTCTTTTTGTTCTGAGTAGTTAATTTTATTTCACCCAACCTTCGGAGTGAGTTTTCAAATGTAAAATATGAATGAATTAAGGATTATGAGGCCTACTTTGCTATAGATCAAGCGCTTTGGAGCCTTTGTTCAATCAGTTATTGACTGACTAATGACCACTTCAATGCCACTTCAACGTAAGACGCAACAAGCTGCAGCAAAATGTACTGTTACGTATTGATAGCCTTGCTTTAGGCAGAATTAAATTTCTCATGCTAGGTTTGACTACAACGTCTAACCTTCAATTGCGCTTTCACAGTAGCCAGCTGGTAATCGTCTTACGTTGACACTGTTATATCTCCTTTCAATTCTCATAACCTTGTAAGACAATTTAGTAAACCTTTAAGAGTTTTGCTTTTTCCTTTCCAAATATTCGTGGTATTGACATCGACTACAAAAACCATTCACGTTCCAATTTTCTCAGCTTTAGATGAAATCACTTTGTGCAGCAGATCGTTCCAGCTCTTGACCTGATCCGGTTATTTTCGGTGCAAAATCAACTGAGTTACAATGTTTTTAACAAATTTATTTTTCCTATTGTCTTTATATAGATCATTCGACAGAGAGATATGTGGGATTGGGCAGAGCTCGCAATGCTTCCGACACTGTACAACTTGCCATCGTACTTCTACACCGGAAAAGCTCCGACGTTTATGGAAGGAGAAAGCGGATTTGTGGTGGGTGTGGCTAGGTTGCGACAGCACAGGGCAAAGAAAGGTGAGAAGAGAAATATAAAGATAATAGTTTTTTCCTCATAGATGTATACAAAATAATTTCTCGACATTTTTTCGGTTAAAATTTTTGCGTAGCTCTAGAACTGAAGAACATCGTAATATTTATCAGTGATTCTTCATTCATGGATCTTACTAAAGCCATAACGGTTGGAGCTAATCTTGTAATGTTACACCGTCCAGTCTAATACCATCTCTCGTTTCCTTTATTCCTCATTGAAACTAATGAGTACGAAGCAACTTTACGAAGGGATTTCAATTCCCTTAACTCTCTCATAAGCCCTCTATTGATGTTTCTCTCTCTCATACTTAGATTCTTGTCGTGTGGTGCCCCAAGTACAAAATTTCTTCTCAAGGTGCTCCTCACAGTATGGAATGACTACAGAGGAAGAACAAGCTTACACTGCTGGCTGGGGGTCACTCTCAAACAACTCTAAGACTTCGCTACCAGGTCCCTGGAGATACAGCTCTGCCAGCGACTTAGATGGCTACCCTTACACGGGTGGTGTAAAAACATACTCGGGAGGGGGATATGTGTTGGAACTGTCTCACATCTATTACAAAGCCTTGCGACAGATCAAGGATTCCAGGGCTGCGCTCTGGTTGGACCGCCATACACGAAGCATATTCATCGAGTTTACACTCTACAACCCAAATAGCAACTTGTTCTGTGCGGTAACGTTTCTGATGGAGGTATTTCCAACAGGAGGAGTTTTCCCACATTCAGAGGTCCTTGCCTACCGCCTCTACCGTTACGTCGGTGATTTTCAATTGTTTATTCTCGCCTGTGAAGTCTTTTTCTTGATATTTGTAATTTACTTCACATACCGAGAGGCTAAAAAGATTTACAAGACAAAGGGAAGGTACTTCACAGAGGTGTGGAATTTGATGGACCTTGCTGTAATGATTCTCTGCTGGATCGCTCTGTCGTTTTATTTCATCTGTCTGGGATTGAGGAAGTGGACTTTGCATCTTTATCGCCAAAATCTCACCAAGTTCATTAGTTTCCAGTACCTTTCAGCTTGGCAGCTTATGTTCGAAAACGTGGTTGGTGTAACTGTGTTTGTCATTTGTCTCAAATTTATCAAACTGTTGAAATTCAACCGGAGAATATTTCTTCTTTCCTGTACATTGCGACATGCAAGCAGAGAACTCTTGCAATACTTTATCGTGTTGATCATTGTCTTTCTGGCATTTTCGCAGCTTTATCATTTTCTTTTTGCAAGCAACTACGACTCTTTCAGCACGCTGATTGGCTCCATGCAGAAACTTCTCAGCGTCCTCTTGGGACAATTTGACTTTGAAGAAATGATGGGATTGCACAAGATTCTTTGCGCGCTGATTTTCTTTCTCTACACCATCTTGACCAATTTCTTGTTTCTAAACCTTCTCATTGCCATCATAATTGAATCTTTCGAAGTAGTAAAACGGCAAAATGACCAAATGCAGAACGAATTTGAGATGCTGGAATTTATCATGATGCACTTCAGAGACCTCTTAGGCATACGGGCACTGAACAGAGCCACTAAGGAATCGCAGTTCACGTTTTCTAACAAGGCCATGAACAGACCACTGTATGTGAGTAGGAAGAAACGTACAGAAAGGAAAGAGAGTGCTAAGCGGCTCGAGAAAGCCTTAGACAGACTGGCATGTTACGTGAATGTGATCAACGATATCGAGAATGAAGATGACTTGCTTTGCTGTTACATATCCCGGAGAATTCGTCATAACTCTTTAAAAAAGGCAAAAACTGCTGATTCTCGTTTATGACAATATGCTTTTTTCTATAAACTTGAGTTACCCCCAATAATTATTATTTCAACGGGCTGAAGAGCAATGGAAACTCAAAACTGCCTGTTTGTGTATGAAAACACCTACATTTAGCGATCTACATCGGGCACAATCAACTAGAAATCTTGATCTTGGAGTAAGAGGGTTGAGCTTAAGGTCTGGTTTGAAATAAAAGGAACACGATCTGGGAACTGAATCAAACAAAACAACAAAAACAACGAAAACAAAGCCGACAAAGCTTGCTGATTACGCATCGTTAAGTTTTTCAAGGATTGCCAATGATCAACCTGGTAGAAAATTGCGACACTAATGATCATGTGCTCGCGGGGGAGATTATGTGAATAAAAGTCTTTCGTGTATATTGTGCGCTATTTGTGTGATGATATCATTTTTCTATTATTCTCGTAGTTTATTTTAGGTGAGGTTACGTCTATAGAATTAATTGGCACATACGTTTGTGGCCGACTGATTATGGAAGATAAAGGGAAATCCATATGAAACACTGTGTTCCATGATGTTTGTTCGCGGCAGATTTTGCAATTTTGTTTCACTATTCAGGGTAGGGACCTGCCTTCTTATCTTTAGGGTTGAGGCTAAATTGTTCTTTTATTGCCTTGTGTTGGTCATCCATTCAAAAATGACAAATATTGTGATTGGATCATTTCTAAGTCGAAACGAGGCATATGAAATCAAACATTACTGGTCACAAAAGATGGAGGGACAAAGGGTCACACAACCCGAGAATAAGCATTATACCCCCTCGGGACTAAAAGCGTCTCACACAGAGTCAGTGGTCAGGCTGTACTGAATAATTACGAAAATCAAAAATATATTCATTTTTCCAAAGATTTTTCCTGCAGGATTTGGAACTGGCCAACACTGGCTAATACTGCAGAGTAATCGCGTCATATGATGAGACCATGACTCTGTCTCTGCGTGACTTTTATTCATTCATTCAAGGAACGAGTCTGTATTCCGTGCTTTACAATTGATTGTAAATCTTTATTATGTTTTCCTGTGCTGTCTGTAAAATATTTCGTGATGGTCACCCATCGCACAAAAGGGAAAGCTTCTGGGCTTGGATTGTTTGCTTCGCCGCTGCAACGAATCTGGCTTTCACCACTGGATTGGTTTATAGTTTTGGAGTGCTCTTGCCGATATTCATGGATCATTTTAAAGAAAGCCGAGAACGTACAGGTAATCTAATGATTTAACTAGACATGTAATTTTTTAAAGTTTACAATCTCTCGAGATGCTGATTTAATTTGCATCGATGGCATTTAATTTGCATCGACTGCTTCGTACCTCTTACGTAACAACAGTAATATAAGGGTTTTGTATAGGGAAAATAACTACATTTAGATACCTTTTCGAAATTTCTCTTCAAATGAATAGTCGAACCCACTCCCGTATTTTACTTCTTTGTCTCCGGTCTGATTTACGTGGAAAAGAGTGGCCTTGGATCGTCTGAAAACCTAGTTTTTCATTTGACTACGTAATTATGGCGATTTCTAGAATGTCACGCAAGCCTCCGTTACGTTACTTAACGAAAAACAGTTGCGATTGAGGCAAAGAATACCGGAGCCAAATACGACAAATACCAACTTGGACAAAAGTTAAGAACAGCAGAGAGCCAGGCAAATTTGTGAAATTATGGTATAGTAAGGGGTATACTAACACTGATTGTAGACGACGAACGTAACAAATTTAACTCGATGAACAGCTAGGAGGTAGCGTTAGCACGAGGCTGCCATGTGACTACTCAATGCCTCTTTAGATCAGATATGAGCGGCCGTCACCACCAAAAATACAAGGATGTCAAATAGGTCAGCAAATACAAAGCTGGTTTAAGCACAGCTGCAGGATAGAATAGCTAATAAATGAATGGCATGGCCAAATTATAAACGGTTTAGTTTTCCTTCATGAAATAAAGTTGGTTAAGTTGAAAAGCAGGGATTGCTCGTAGTCTAGTCAGATATTTAAAAAGCCTTCGAGAGGTAACCCCGGCTTGCTTTGATCAAAATTAAGGTCGATACAAATTGGTTCTGTGTTGAATAAGACGTTGAGAAAGAGTACTTATTTCCATTCTCATTTGGCCAAATACTTATGTGTTCGGTCCTTGCACGTATTTTTTTTATCAGGTTTATTTTGGATGTTATGAAATACCTATATGAGGAAACTATCATTGTTGTCTTCCTTTCTAGCCTGGGTTGGTTCGCTACCTATCGCCCTGGTGCCGTTCTTTTCCATATTTGCAAGCTCCTTAGCCAACCGATTTGGCTGCCGAACGGTGTCTGTGACGGGATGTATGGCATTTGCGCTCAGTTTAGTGACAGCTTCATTGGCTAAGAACTTGACCGTCTTGTACGTAGCCTTTAGCGTTATTGGGATTGGGGCTAGTTGTGCATTAGTGTCAGGTTTAGTAATGGTTCGAAAATGTTTTGACAAACGCGAAGCATTTGCTCTTGGAATCGTTTCAACGGGGCAAGGCTTGGGAACAATGGTTCTCAGCCAAGTTCTTCAATATCTTACTGACGCTGTCGGCTGGAGAAGTACCTTGCGGATCATGGCGGGTGCTTTAGTTTTAAACGCATTGCTTGCTTTGCTTTTTGATTCTAAAGTGGACACAGAAAACTCTGAGAGCGGGGAACAGCTTTCAAGTGAAGAGGATGGACAGAGAAGAAAGTCCAAACGATTCACATTCCATTGCTCCGTATGGAAAGTTCCCAGTGTTATTACGCTTACAATCACAGGAGTGTTCTTTATGTTTGGTCGTTCTATAATCTATGTGCTTGTGGTAGGTAGCTCTACACCTCTTACTAATCGAATGCGAGATCCGAATATGTGCGTGTCCGACCAACCAAGTGAGGTCAAGATGGATATTGGCCGAGTTCTTTACGCAAAAAATACGAGGCTTATATACAGCTATTTTGACCGAAAGCTTGGTCAATAATAGATTATTACATAACAAAAATATTTTGCTTTATTACTAATCAAGAATAACTTGCTTATTTCGAGAGCCAGGAAAGAAAGACACGTGTTTGTAGCACAATAAACCCTCTAGATTCGTTTATGTTTCATTTTGTTTTGACTGCCTTCTGCCGCTATTTGCAACTCCATCGTCGACATTGTCCAAAAATAACCAACTCTATAAGTCCCCTCCATTCTTAATGTATTCTACACTTTTTTTGAGCAGCGGGCGGGCTAAGCCTGGAGAGTACAAATAGAGATTTCTCATTTGTTGGCAATACTGCCAACCGTATGGAAACAAACATGAGGCGATATTCAGCAATGTTATCGTTGCTTAGAGAGAAAAGAAAAACATTTCTACTAAGAAGCAGCTTAGGTAGTTTGTTCAAATTGCGAGATACACGAGATGTTAGCAGCAACTGACAAAAAAGTTTAAGTAAAAGTTTAAGCTTTATGGTGATTGAAAAAGAATCAGAGACGGTTGAGTTTATGGATGGTTGAACCCCACGTGCGGAGTTGACACTGAGGGAGTAGATGGTGAAGTGGAAAGGCAAAACAAGGGGAGGATAAAGCGCTCAAGGACTCCCCTCCCCTCCCCCCTGTTAACTTGGGGGGACAAGTTATCATCTTTCACTTTTACTGTTGTCTCGCACTTTGTTTTACATTCTCAGGTGAAATACTCCGTAGATCGTGGGATGTCTTCTGCAGCGTCGTCAAGGCTCGTTCTTTTTATGGGAATCAATATTGTTCTTGGCCGATTTGTGAGTGGCTTTCTGTGCTCCATCAAACGACTCGATAACTGGTTTATTTTACAAGGCATGGCAATCACAAACGGCGTCTCGACAATGCTCCTTGCCTTGGCTAACAGCTACGAATGGTTAGTCGCATATTCCGTTATATTCGGGTTTTGTGACGGGGCAATGGGTGTATTGGTTAACATCATAGCTCTGACATGCGTAGATCCCTCTAAAGCAGGTTCAGCCTTTGGTAACGTTTTGCTGGCGACGTCCTTGGTGACATTAGTTGGACCTCCTCTGTCAGGTATGGACAATACTATGAAAAGAAATTGAGAGACAACCACGGCTCTTGAATTTATATTTTAAGTCCTTTAAAGTGCAAGTTCGTGTCATAAAAACGCAAATTGCATAAATTGACACTTTAAATCCACTATAAAATTCCGGCTTCTTGCTTAGCTGGGCTATTCCTCTCAAATGTCTCATAGATCGCTTCTCTTTTCAGAATTTCCAGAAATACGCCCGCACTGTGTCACTATTTTCGTCGATGTAGACGTGTCTCTTTATTCTGTGTCAAAACATCTAGGCAGTAGAAGAGCTACACGTAATTATCATCAGTTTGTGGGAGAAAAAACGCTCTGAGTCTTAAAATAACTCGAATATTATACCCGTTAGGAAAAGGCCAAGCCTGCTTGAGTGAGGAATTTGAGCTGGAACTATCAAGTTTTTCCAACAGAATAAACGTGTTTTGTCTTCTAATATGGAGATGTTTAAACGTAAAAAGTTCACTTTCTCGAACAGATGGCTCAGAAGGAAAGGTCTACAAGAAAGTCACGGTCGCTAATCTTGCTTTGTGCGAAAAGAATGGACGATCAAATCCGGCACTTGGTGGGGCATTTTTACACACTTTTGGCCTCGGAGGCGGGAATTTAAACGAACCAATCTTGAAAAGGTCAAATGCACGGAGGGTTACCCGGAAGGGGATGTAGAAGCTTCAAATTCACTATTCATGAACTGTTCCATTACAATCTCTAATTGCAAGCATGACACGTTTATTATCCCAGTAATTATCACTGAGGTCGGGTCGCTGATAAACAATTATATTCGAGAGTCTTGTCAGAGCTTTGATTATAATGGGTTGATGAATTTCACTCTTAGGTTTTACCGTCGACAAACTTGGCACATATGGGCCTGCATTCTTCATGGCTGGCGGTGCTCTTATTGTAGCTTCGTTTACTCCATGGATACTGTGCTGTCTTAGAGACAGGAAAACTGAAAAGATCGAAGTATCTCTTGAAGACTATGATGATGGAACCGATACCCAGCACTTGAAGGAGGATAGCTGTCATCACGAGCCTGGCTTGGAGGAGATAACACCAGTTTCCGCAGTCCGCAGTCAACAATGAATTATTCATGTAAATGAGTTTACAGATAATCACATTGTTAAGGGGCGCTGGTGTTGGTGTGATGGGTTTGCAGTCCACTCAATTTCCAAAAATAAAAATTGTGAATTCCAGTTGATTGAAGCTGGAATGACATCAAATACTATCTCGCACCAAAGCTAAAATGCTTCAAACGAACGTTAAGAATCATACAAGTGATCACAATAATACTCAAAAGAGAGTGTGGATATTTCCCGAGATTTTATCCAATGCGTGAAGTCGTCAAATTCATGTCTTGCTGGGCAACAGGAGCAAGGCATCATCTGTTCATTTTGATTACAATACTAGCCCTTTGACCTTTAAGAGTGACTAGCGTCTAATTTCTCCTTAAAATATCACTTTTGGGTAATTAAAATGAAGGAAATGATCACCTACCAGAAAAGTTCTCAGTTTTGAGCGTGCATAACTTCTGCTCGACGCTGAGATTGTCAAGATGATTGTAAATTAAGTGGGCTTTGTTCTCCAGTTACATACCCTCGTGCGCTCCGCGCAAGTCTTTGAACAGCTCACTACTTAGAGAGTGCACGAATGTATCTCACAAACCCGCTGAAGGCCATAATATTCTGTCCAGATAGAAAGGCAAGCAAAAGCATATACTCCGTTGTCCGTGCAGTTGGGATATCCATTCCTTCTTCTACTAGTGCGCCTTGGGCTTTAAAGTCAGTCCAGTGGGATACGCAACTCGAATACGAAATCTTGTTTAGCCTTGTGGCCGTGCATCTCTTCGTTTATTTGACGCACCGGCAATTAAGATGACAAGCTTGAGTAAAACCGTAAGATGTCTTCTGCTTAGCGCTTAGATAGTGTATCAAAATAGGCATGAAGTGTGTTCTGTTTCAGTTGCATACACACATGCAAGGAAATCAAGCAAAATGCAACCACGGTTCATTACAATTGATTTAGGTTAAAAATCACCCAGATAAATCACTTTATTTCAAGTGATGGAAGAGGGAGAGGAGAGGACGAGGAGAAAAAAGGATTAAAAGCCCGAGACAATGGAGAGAGTACATAAGGTTACTTTAAATGGATTAGAGAGCTTGAAAATAACTGCATTCAATTGCAAATTAACAGAGGGGTATCAGATTAAAAACTTTTCCTTTTGCTTCTAAAGCTTAAATTGTAGATGAATGCAAACAGGCGAGGTCAATGCAAACAGCATATAAGATTACCTGAATGGAGTATTAAACTGCATATTTAACAAAGGGGTCTCAGTTTGGAAACTTACAAAGTAAAACTTACAAAAGAAAATAAAACTTCTGCTTTCACTGCTTAAGTTGAGGACATTAATCTATTGACTTGCCACCCTAAAAGTAGGGCTAGAACCCAGATGACAACCCTGGGTTGTTTGAGACATTTTCTCACAACACTGAAAATAAGGATTTTATTCTCACAAATTGCCTGATTACAACAACTGTCCAGTCCAATTTATTGAATGTTTTCTTCCCTGGTCATCACATAAAACTGTTCCTTGTGACAGAAACACCCAGGAGATAACTTGCTGCAATCTTGTTTAGTGATACTTCCTCCAAATGGAATGGGCTATGGGAAAATAAAAAGTAAACACATTTTCAAAAAGGTCAACATTCAAGCACAGAAAAACTCTGAAATGATTATTCTGCTCAAGCACAGTCACAGTAGATTGTTATCTTGGGGAGCTCCTAAATTCCACGATGAGCATTTCTTACATAACTCTTTAACCCCTAACAATACCAAAATCACATGTAAAGGTCACAAGAAAAAAAGGAAATGATCACCGATGATAGAAGCTCTTGATTGTTAAACAAATTCTCCTTGTCAGCACCTTAGGAAATGTATTGAGAACAGTATGGAGAATATGTCTACTAATGTTAGGGTGTAAGGGGATAAAGGAAACTTGATTTTCTAAGCCCTCATTTTCAGCAAATTCTAGCTAGTTCAAACCAAAACTGACTTCCCTTCTCTTGCCAAACACTAGTAATTCACCCCAAGTTTTAGACATTGGAATAATCCTAGACCATTTCCTTACTCTATGAGGTTTTAGAAATAGGATTCCAAAGTACATTTCCCTGATCAAAAAGTAGTCACATTTTTCCAAAGGAATCGTCACAAAGAGTTAGTTTGGGCAATGCCATTTACCAATCATTTTCCATATACATTTTATCATTTCTAAGATCCAGGGCTGTTAATTATACAAGTATGTGTTTTCAAGAGACAAAAACGTTTGGTTTCCCTTGTTTTAAGGGACAGCAATTTTTTGTATTATCACAATTTTTTTCCTTTGCTCTGTTGTTTAATCATATTTTCAGTCCTAAGTCACTCATGAAAGTAACAGGTTGGTACACTAGGGATCACCCAAAATATTTTTGCTCCTGGTCTTAAGTTGGTCCAATACATATGATTGTGTACTTTCAACTAAACTTTCCTTTCCACAAAATCCACTTAAGGTTTCCAAAACTAATTTACTTACATTCTTTTTTAAGTATCTAATGGTGGATAGAAATTATTACTAACTTAAGGACGCATTATGATCTATTTGAGAAATAACCCAGGTCAGACGAGTTTCTTTAGAGACTGCAGTGCTGCGTCGGTGGGAGAGTATAACAGGGTAATTTAGTATTATCAACTGAGTTGATGACGTAAATTTGCCATCGTAAAGATTTTAAAAGCTAACGCTTCGACCATTAGCCCTTCGTGAGAGCGATTGGGAATCACTCGCTCGAAACGTCAGCTTCTAAACTCTTTACGGTGACCAATTTACGTTATCAACTCAGTTGAAAATACTAAGCCCCTGATACAGTTAAGTAAACAACCCAAACATACAGTGAAGCAGCTAAAAATGTACACCAGACTCTACAAACAAGCTCACCTTTAATGTGGGGATACTCCATGTAATAATTAATGGCCATGGCAGCAATGCAAACATGAATAAACGGAGTCAATCTGGCGTTCTTGACTTGAACGTACTTGGCTCTGTAGCTGTTCCAAATCCTGCACCATCCTAGCCACAAATGATCAGATCCTTTGGATAAGTTTTTGGTCAAATAATCTGGCACGTTGCGCAGTTTTGTGTCTCTCAAATTGGACATCGTTTGCGTGAAGTTTCAGCCTTACAAATCCTACAACTCGTCAGTAGTTTTTATTCACAACTCGGACCAAACTGATAGAAGTGATGTTGGGTTTGTGAGCAAGAATGATTATGGGTTATGCTATCCCATGGCCCCTTGGTTTTCCACCCTTTGATGAGTGTCTGCTGACCAGAAATGTTCGTGTATCTATTTGTAGAAGGAGACGACGCGACCAATGAGTGATCGTTCAACGATGAAGTTGTGAGCCATTAAGATCACTAATTAGTCACCAAAATTTATTTAAAAGAACGAAACAGTTTCTTTTCTATTGACTAACCTGTCAATAATCAATTAAGATGTATATAGCGACGGTTTTGACGGGTATTACTGTCGTGATCGTACTTGTAGCATATTGGTTGAGGGGCCGAAAAGACCCTTCTAAGCCAAGAATTTGTGTCCTAGTGCTCGGAGATATCGGCAGAAGTCCTCGTATGCAGTATCATGCTCTTTCTTGTGCAAAAGCAGGCTTTCGGGTGGATATGGTCGGATTTGGAGGTATGAAATGATACTGGCTTCATGAAAAGTATGCTTGGGGTGGGGTGGGGGGGGTTTGGTATTCAGACAGTGGTAGGGTGCGCTAATATTTAATTGCTTGAGGGGTGTTTTAGGCCTGTTGGAAGGTGAAAAGTATTGGTTCGTACATTTTTCTGATGTATTTTACAATGGGTGATGGTGAGCATTGTTGTTTTCTTTTAAGACTCTTACGAACTGCATCATGCATAGTTTAATATCCTCTCTGTGAACCTTTAAAAAGGGATTTAAGAAATTCTTGATCAATTTCCAAGAGAGTAATGGAAACTGCAGGGTACATCTTTAGATGGCATATTTGTTTTTACACAAACATTTCTGTACATCTATTCAGTCAGGATCTAATGGTGGGATTAATTTACTTATGGGTTAGATTCTTGAGTCTTGGAATCCACCTTTCACTACTCCTAAGACTGTAGAATCTCAATATTTTTACTTCATAAGGGAATGGAAATGGGTTTTAATTGATTATTAAAGAGTTTTAGGGAAGCCATTGTTAGTTTCAATTATCTAGAGTTTTAGTAAACTTTAGTTTTTGTGTTTTCAGTATTATATTATTTTCTTCTCAGTTCACCAGTGTAAGAGTGCTAGACATTGTGGCATGCATACTTTTAAAAATTTCTTAGCTTCTAGAGAGGTTTTATAATCGTGTTCTTTGCCTCTGTACTATTCAGGGTCTAATCCAATAAAGGAACTAGCAGAGAGTGAAAAAGTCGTAATCAAGACATTGCCAGAATTTCCTGAATCTCTGAGAGGTATGGAGTTGCCCAATGCTATCCTAGAAATATTTAAGAATGGTCCACAACAAGGGAAGCGATAGGCCTATGGGTCAAGAACTCTTTGAATTAGACTCAGAGTTTTTACCCCACAACAGACAAAATACAAAATGCACCCCAATGCACTTTGCAGCAGTGTGTTATATTCCATGTCCTCATTGACATAGCTTGAAATCTGACACGAGAATTCCCTCTCTACCCTGTCCCCCTTGGAATTGTCAGCCTGGTATTCCTTATAGTCTTGTGTGGTTAATGGGAGTGAGGAAATACTGAGGTATGAGAGTCGTGATTACAGAGTATAAATTATACTAATTGTACTCTATGACTTTTTCTTATTAATGATGCACATGTTAAATAACTATTCACATCATTTCATTCTGGATAATTTGTAGGTTTGCCCAAGTTGCTGTTTTATGCCTTGAAAGCAATCATTCAGTTTTTCCAACTCTTTGTTACCCTTTTAAGCTGTGGCTCACAATGTACCCATTTGTTAGTTCAGGTAACTGAATAACCTTCTAAAATAGTTCCAATAACTGTGTTAATTTGTTGATTAATAACTGTCTTCCATCATTATTGTGACAGAATAGTAATAATAATGATGTTCTGTTTAATGTATAGAATCCTCCAGCCATCCCCTCCCTGGCAGCAGCATGGTTTGTGAGTCTCCTTTGTGGAAGTAAATTTGTCATTGATTGGCATAACTACGGGTTTACAATCTTGGCTCTGGGAGTGAAGAATACTGAACACCCTCTTGTAAAGGTAGCTAAATGGTAGGTTGTTCTGTGCAAGGCTGTGGGATAAGGAAAGGGAACCCAGATAAAACTTGGGGTAAAGGACTAGAGAGAAATGAAAATTGGATTACAATATCATCAATTAAACTAACAATGATAATTAAGGTGTGTAGCAATGTAGTTGAAATGAAATCATTTGTTCAACTAAGACCCAGTTGATAGAAGGGGGAAGTATGGCAACAAAACAGATAGCAGAAAAGTTATGGTACACTACACTGTTTACAGCTTGTCAAGTGCAAACTTTGCTTTTTACCTTTAAGGTAAACTGTGGTAAGGTAAAAATTATTTTTAAGACCAAAATACAACAGAATGATTTCACAGATTGATGGCTAATAACTTTTACACCTAATTGACAAGATCATGAGGAATTGATGAAAATGTTTCCCCCCCCCTTGACTTTCCACCCAACCCCAGGAGTATGTGGAATGATCATTAGGAAAGGGGGGGGGACAGAATTTGTATATGTTGGTATCATAGCTAACATAAGGATATGAACTGTTCAAATGGTATGAACGTTTTGTAAATTTTTCATAGAATACAATGTCTCTACCCTCAAAGGGACTATTTATGATTTCATTGTTTCAATGTATTGTCTTCCTTTTCAACTGTATGCAGGTATGAGTTCTTTTTTGGAGGTATGTCATCAATTAACCTGTGTGTCACTCAGGCAATGCAAAGAGACTTGTGGGAAAAATATGAAATAAGGTCTGTAATTGTTACGTGATCAAATAAGTAAATTTTACCACAAATTAAATGAATAAAATTAATAAGTAATGAAAAACTGGTAAATATCTAGTTTGAAACAATCCAAAGCTGCATCTAACAATATGCATGTGAAGCCAATATAAATATACATATTTAAACATATATAAATATTTATATGTATGTATGTATTTAAATAAATTTATATACATGTAGAAAATAGCCCAAAACTTTTTTCTTTTTCTGTAGGGCACACACTTTGTATGATCGGCCTCCATTGCGGTTTCATGAAATGGATCTTTCTACACAACATCAAGTGGGTAATTCAAACAAGTTTTTAATAGACTAAATTATATTTATATGTTCAGGAAGTAAAGGTTAAGATTCCGAGTAAGTTACCTGCCAGCAGGCAAGAACAATGGAAATTAAATAATTTGGTAAAAACCCTGGCTGTCAACAAGACAAAGTAGGCATGGGTTTGTCAATGCCTAACTGGTAAACCCTTTAAACCCAAATAGTGACTAGCATTGAATTTCTTCTCACAATATCACCCCTGAATCACAGGGTCATGAGAATAAAGGAGATGATCACCAACTTAAGATGCTTTTGATCAGTAAACAAATTCTCCTTGTCAGCACCTTAGGAAATGTATAAAGAATAGTATGGAGAATATGCATGATGACATTAGGGTGTAAGGTGTAAAGTGTAAAGTTGTACACAAGTCTCAGACATAGTTTACATTACTTTACCTAACAAGAAGTCATGTGCGATTAGCCAATCAATCACATCAGTCATATATCAAACTTGATGCAAACTTTCTTCATGCTATCCCTTTGGATAAGACTGGATATTGTGTGTCTGGATTGCTTATGTTGATATCTAAATACATTACCTTCCAGCTTTTTCTAAAGCTTTCCAAGGAATATGAAGTTTTCAGTGCACCAGAAAGGTATAGTCATTTTTTATTTTCTTATTTCTGTTTCCACATGTAAGTTTTGTTTTTTTAATCAATAAACGTGAATGCTTGCTCTTCTTGGAAGTCCTTCAGAATTCAAGAATGATGTAACTTCTATGACAGCATTCACCATTCAGTTAAAAGATGGAAGAATTCTTTTCAGACAACAGAGGCCTGCTCTCCTAGTTAGCAGCACAAGTTGGACAGGTAATCATTAAAATCCTTATTGACTTAGAAAAAAAATTCTTTAAATTGTTTGCTGAGAAGCAATGCTTATGACAGTAACTCTCAAGTACAGGATGTGCTTGTTTGTTGTAATACAGAGAGCCATTGGCTCACTGGCTAAAGTACTAAATGAACATATAGTTGATTTTAGAATTTTGGGATTGTTTGTTAGCTGTACCTCAAAATATAACTGATGCATACTGTTGTCTTCATTAGTCACAATGTTGTGTTGTAACTCACAACACTTTTTTTTTAAATATTTATAGAAGATGAAGACTTCTCAATTCTACTGGATTCTCTTGAAGGTAAGAACCACCAGGAACTTTAAAACCTCTTGATCTGTTTTACTGAGGAAAATAAATGTACATGTATTTAACAAATTAGATATTTTCTTTAAATGATCTTGGGGTAAACAGCATTACTGAATAGAGCATAACATCATGGGAAGTTAGCAGAAAGGATGTTGTGCTTTAGAAGACGAAGGAACTAAGGATTTCCACCACCATTCTGTCTCCTTTCTAGTCTTTCCTGTGAAATCATATTCATACCTTTCCCTTCCTTCTACCCATTTACTATTTTGGGATCCCTCTTCCCATTATCAAGTACATGTTTCTTAATTGGAGCTAAGTAGAACTAAGTGGAGGCCTGTAAAGCTTATTTCACAAGTTTGGAAGATATACATCAAAAGGAATTTTCTGAAAAATTATAATCACTGATTAATTTCAAATTATTTGTTTATCAAATAGAGTATGAGAAGGTTATAAGTGAGGACCAAGCATCCCTTCCTTCTATAGTTTGTGCCATAACTGGTGAGTGCTGGGTAAATAAAGTTCCAATCAGATTACCAGTTAAATCAATCCAGCAGTACGAAAGACTAATTGCACCTCTGTGTTTGCTTTGTTCTCTTTAACAGGCAAGGGACCTTTAAAGGAATATTATCAAACAATAATTAGTAAAAAGAACTTTAAACATGTAAAAATATGCACTCCATGGCTTGAGCCAGAAGACTACCCACGCCTGTTAGGTGAGTGCTTAAGTTGACCCTGTAATTCACCATTGTCTTAACGCCCAAGATCTGGTTGTTAATTCTCCCCTCTAGCTGTTACACATCTCCTTGTTAATTAGTTATGAGGATTAGATGTTAGATCTAGATAACCTGTTAAGTTTAAGTATTCTCACTACCTGTTTGCTAGTTAATGTAAGGATATTATAGAGAGAAGTTACATGTTAATCACTTCTGTATGGGAGTTTAAGGATGAACCACACCCCTGAACTCCTCCCACAGGGGGGTGACTCTTTGTTTGTGCTGTTTATTTGTTAAATTCCTGTACAGATTGCAAATTAATATATCTATATGAATATATCACACAGTTGTACTCAAGTTTTTCTCTGTTAGGTAAATTATGCCCTTCCAAAATATTCAGCGCATTTCATTTTGACTAACCAACTTTGAATTTTATAACTTATTTGAAGGTTCAGCTGACCTTGGTGTGTGTCTGCACAAGTCATCATCAGGTTTAGATTTGCCAATGAAGGTTAGCCAGTCAGTTGTTCAATATTCCTCTTTATTTCTTTACAGTCATACCTAAAAAGTTGATTATGAAATCCTTATTTGTGTATTGTCAATTGCCAGGTTGTGGACATGTTTGGTTGTGGCTTGCCTGTGTGTGCTATACATTTTGAGTGGTAAGCAATGTACAAATATTTACAATTATATAATAAGCTCAGTTATGCACGCATTCTGAAAAAAAAACTTTTTTAAATTCTTTATTATATAAAACAAATAGATTCCAAGTTACTGAACAGACGCACGGCAACTTGGAATCTATTTGTTAGTTGGTTAATTACCGGGCACCTATTAATCATTTGATCGTGCAGTACTCAGTTAATTTATAAGGCAATCAATATTAACTAGTGTTATAATGAAGGACATAAAGACAAAAAAAAATGTGACTCATAGGAATGGCAAGTGTGGTATATTTGGGAAAAGAAATTGGCATGTACACGTACTATGTATTACAACGTGCTGCGTGAAAGTTTTCGTAAACGGTAAAGTGAAGAACAGCTCTCCTCCAATGACTGTCTGTAAACTTTTGCCTGACAGTGTTATCGACTGAGTATTAACGGGATGCCAGGAAAACGTATAGTTTACCGAAATTTGCCTGTTGCAATGATTACCCTTTGTTAAGTAAGCCTACTCCTCTAACATTTAGTGAGACCAGCGTAAGATAACCAGACAATTTTCGCCTTCATTTCAGCTTACACGAGTTGGTCAAACATGAAGAGAATGGTCTGATATTCCGCGACAGTATGGAGCTAACTCAACAACTAAAAGTAAGGTTCAAAATTCGGCCTTGTTTGTTAAAATCAGAACCTCAGCCTATTCCTGTTATATGGCTCATTTATCTTCCATAATGTGTTGTTGATATTGTTGATAAGGAAATACTTATTTTGATTCCCCCTTTTTTTTCCAAAAAACGATGATTGAAAGGAACTATGTTTTTCGGAAAGTGATGGAGAACATCATCCAACATACGCTTGGGGTTACACTCTGATACCATGCATACACTTATGAATAAACTTCCATGAGACGCATCGTCGAGAAAGTCCGTTCTTAAAATCACAAAAATAAGTGAAGAGAACTGTCATCTGATAGTGTTTCTGTTGTTTTGAATTTCAGAAACTCTTTCGAGGTTTTCCACTGAGCAAGCCATTACTCACTAGTTTCAGAGAGAACTTAGCAAGTTTCCAAAGGACGAGATGGGATGCGAGTTGGAAAAAAATTGTCCTGCCATTGCTAAAAGAGAAATGAAACATGTTCAAATGTTTCCTTAAATTCACCTCAATTAATAAAATTCAGTATAAATTATTTCTTGAAGACTGTGCATTATCGTATGGCTACGGATCTGAGAAAAGTTGCTATACTAATCGATGTTTCGTTGTTGATTTGAATCCGCCGTTCACACTTAGTTTAGGCTACCATTTTGGTGCGAAAGAGATGTCTTGAGGTTGCAGGCTCCTGCATGCTGTGTTATTTTGCGGTTAACGGGAACCTCTCTCTTTAAATCCTTTGTTGAGACCCTGCCTTTCTCCGCGTTTCCATGCCACTGCACTGTTGTTGGAGTCCCCAAGGGATATGTTCTATGAACGTCATGTGACTAAACCCACGCCCACGTCTAGCTAGAGTAGAGAGATTTAGATCCGGGTTTGCGTGAAACGTGAACGGCAAAAAATACCACGTAGCTATTTTCCACGTTTGCCGTTCATCGTTTGCCATTTCTGGGCGTTTGCCGTTTGGCGTGGATCTAAGTCTCTAATTTATCTAGTGACTTTCCGTCGTGCCTATTGGAATCGAAAGCCGGTAAACTAGAGAAGCACTCCTCTCGCCTGCGTAGCTGGTTTAATTGGATGAGAGGCTTAAGCTGCAAAGTACACACAAAACCGCCAGCTAAGCAGCTAAGCATTCCACTTGTCGATAACTCATACAGCGCCTTGAAAGGAACCTCGTATTGGAGCATTTTTTGTAGAGAAATATTTGTAGTACTTTTTTTCTTTCTATGACCAGGAGATATCCAAAATGGAGTTATTCAGACGAAATTCGATATCGGAAGGACAGTTACTAATGATCATAAAAACTGTGTCGTCTACAGCTGACGAAAATGAGAAAAAACATTCGCCCCTAGATGAATGAATGGAAAAACAAATTTGGAGCTTATCGTGCCTGTAAAACTTTATGTCTAATCAAAATTGTAGATAAGTAAATAACTTGGGTAACTTCTAATATCAATGCCATAAACGGTGCCGGGCATTAAGCCACTGTCAACTTCTAATCGTTCTCCTGCTGCGGGAGCTGCCACACATGGCGCGATCAGCGTCTACAGTACTGTAAAAAGAGGCTTACTGGTATTTCTCTTAATACCTTTTGTCCCTGAAAAATTTGAAACTCTTAAGGACTTAGGAGAATCTTACGTTGAGAGCAAAACCCAACAGAAGACTCGTCAAAACAAAGCAAAGGCGTGTTACGTGTATTAGCTGCGCTAATCGGCTTTCACACTATGTGACTGGATTATGGCAAGGAATGTTAACCACACCTGTGTCGACCTATCACGATCAACGATGCCATCCATCGTAACTGGTGGGAACAAAATGCCTCTTCAAACGACGAATAAGGCCTTATGTGTTAATCTCTCAAAGAAGTTAATACGATCTTCCGTTGACACAAAATGTAGAATGCTAATTTTTTTTAACACCTTCGACAACGGCGACTTCAGTGTTTAACACTGTTGGAGTTCGTGCCCTGCACTGGCCTGGCTACTGAGCCAAGCCCCCCCCCCCCCCCCTAAAAAAAACCTGTTTTCCATTTTCCTTTTGATTTCCTAGTGTTATTTTCCTCCATGAAAAAACCATGAAGTGTGACTAGCAGTTTTCCTTCCCCGCCTGTGATGACAAAATTCCTATGGTGAACTCAATTCCCAAATCCGTCTGAAATAAGGAAGGAACAGTGGCTTGGAACAACAGGCACAGTTAGCATCAAACTCGCAGTTGAAAAGGAATCAATTATGCAATGATCTGCATGCAACGACAATCATTACACTTCTAACTGAAAAAGTAAACACGTCATATGAGCAATTTCTTCTGACAACATGAAAGTAGTCAGCTTTAATTTGATCCCCTGGAAAGTTTGCTGTAACCAGATGGAGTGATTATTATTCTCTAATCGATATTGATGTACTTGAAACATATATTTTCAGTTTGATCACTGGCTTACAATCTTGAACTGAAATCGTTCCCAGTTATTTAAAGCTTCAGTTTCCTAAGGCCTTTAATTCTTAACAAAGCTTATTTCCTCTTGATTGGCAAGATATCTTGTTCTAAAAATAAATACTGTCAAAGATGTTCTTGATCACACTCTAACCCAGTTTAAATTAGCAAATCTAATTTCCTGTTACAAAACTCCTACAAAAATTTGTTTCACTACGAGTGAACGCTGTTGCAGCTGCAGATTAAAAATTTTCAGACTAAACCAAAAACCGGAAAATGTCTAAAATCATACAGCCTTCAGAGTAAATTTAATGAAAAGTTATATTACACACTACTATTTCGGATATCAGTAATTTTCCATCGTTGAAGTAAATGTTTCTGTGCTTTCCGGGATCAGAAACAGTTTTATCAGTCGGTTGTTGTAATACCATTCGTTCGCAAAAATTCGACGAAAAGATCCCATTTTTGTTCCCAAGACAGGTGCAGGCAAATGAATGCCGAGTTCTAACCAAATTCAAATTACCACTCGGTTTAAAATGCCGAAGATTCTCGCAAGATCACGAGGAATTCGTGCATTCTAGTGTAGCAGGATCCGACCGAATATCAGGAAAAAAATGAAGTCATTAAAAGCTGAAAACACACTTTACTGCATACATTAAAAGCTAGATAAGATACACTGAAAATTTAAGCGACAGGCAGACAATCTCTTTATCATGAAGAGAGGAAACGAATATTTAACTGTAAAAAAATCAACCTTCTCATAAAACGACAGTGAAATTATTCCCTGACAATTATTATTAGCAGTTTCGGTGTAATTTCTGTATTTCCTTAGTTTGCACAAAAACGAAACAGCCACTAAACGTCGAGTTGTGTTACCATGGCGTCCAACCACATGAAGGCTGATTAAAGTCAGAAGTAAATTTGGCAACCTGAATAAACGAAAAAAAAAATGACAAAAGAACCATGACGAATCATTTAAACAGAAAGAAAAATATCGCTGACGCGACAGGATGTGATTCGTTGAAAACATAGCTCTCCAAAGAAAAAGATTTTGTTGGGAAAAAAAACAAAACAAAAAAAAATATACTGGTGTAGAAAACCGTATATCGAGTCCATCGATATTCACTACGTTACATGTTGTACACGATCATTGAGGGCCTATTACTTGAACCTCATCAAGGAATCTTTTAGTTTTTGGATTTCTGTATATGGTGAGATTCTTGGTATTTGAAAATAAATATTTTTCCTTAATTGTGCGGAATGATAAAAATAAGGTCTGTTGGTGTTGCAACATGAATATACGCTCGACCTCCCAGAACGCCAACATAGGACCGAAAGGAGACTACTGTCTCCAATATACCGTAACTGTGTTAGTGCTGAAACTATATCATACTACGAGGAAAATACTCCAGTGAACTGAGAAAAATTTGTCTTTCGCAGACGCGTTTTGGCTCCCTGCGTTAAGGAACAATTTTGATAATACTATCCTTATAAAAGACAGGTGTCGGCGACTCTTCTAACAAATGAAGTATACTTCCATGCAGTAGACTAGTTTTGAAAACTATAATCAACGAGGTAACATAAGAATGACAAAACAATGCACCCCGATTGCCACTGCGGGCGTCCAATTAACGATAACAATATGACGAGCCGTGAGCGATATTTTTGATTAAGAAGTTCGTGACTTTTTAATGTGTGTAATGGCATATCTGTCACGGTTTCCATTGTAGGAGTTGACAAAGCCATCTATCAGCGGTTAAATGCACTGATGGCGGTCTAGTTATTCTTCTTTTTCTCGAGTACGTGCAGGAACGAAAAAAACACAGGTCAAGGCGCGGCGACGGAAATGCTACGTATGCAAGACTTTTGAGGCTCCAACCACGGGGTTTAAGGGATCGAAAGTTTGTAATTTTAAAAAGAAAACAAACTAACCGCAGTTTTGTTCAAATCAGCTTGCAAGACTAAGATGACTAAGATCGTCCCGACCACACGCTGTCACATAAATGATGTATGTCATGCCACTAGCGAATGGCTTCATTACAATGAAAAGCAAATCAGTAAGAGGGCGTCAACTGATCGTTTCCTCCAGGCCTGGCCCCTCAGTCTACATAGCTACACATTTCACAATAGAGTGTGATCACACGTTGCTCTCTCCTCTCAAGTTCGGACGCATCCTTGATCGCTCGCTGATTTTTCTCGCGTCTTGCCCCGATTGGAATAGTCACCAACGGTGTTTACCCAACGTTGACAGCGTTTTCTGAGTAGTAAATTCGACTCCTTTTGAAAATATCATGGCTCCTAAAACGTTTAAGTGGACTCTAGGACTCTTGAACAACGCCAGTAAGAAATATCTCACGCTCGAGACATTCGGTTTCAAGCTGAACGTCGACGGAGTTTCAATGAAGAAGAAGCAAATATGGACGCTGGAACAAGACCAAGGCAGTGATATCTGTTATTTTCGGAGTCACTTGAACCGGTACTTGTCTGCTGATCCGAAAGGCAACGTGAAGTGTGAAGAAGAAGAGCGTACAGAAGAAACGAAATTCACGGTGGAGACGCAAGCCAGCGGAAACTGGGCGATAAAGAGCGTCTACGGCGCATACTTCGGAGGATCGGGTGATCAGCTGAAATGCGTGGCTAAACCATCAGCAACAGAGCTCTGGTCGATTCAGCTCGCAATGCACCCGCAAATCAATGTGATGAGCTCGCGAAGGACACGCTACGCGCATCTCGACACCAAAACCGAGACCATAACAGCCACAGAGGTTATTCCATGGGGAGCAGACGCTATGCTTACCCTCGAGTTCGACGAAATCCAGGGAAAGTACGCTTTTGTAGCCAGCAATAAAATGTACCTGAACAGCGATGGCTCTCTGAATGAAGACCCTAGCAAAAAGAGTCTGTTCACCATTGAGTTTCACGAGGGGGAGGTGGCCTTCCGAACGGACAAAGGCAATTATCTAGCAGCGGTGGGAACAGGTAAAATCCAAGCCGGGAAAAACACTACCGTCGGAAAAGACGAGCTATTTGTTATTCAAGACAGCCCGCCGCAGGTTTCATTCATCGGCCAACGAGACCGACGACTATCGATTCATCAAGGTATGTATGGCTTGTTGTGGTTGAGTACAAGTAAAGCTTGGTTTATTTATTGTTCAAACACGAAACTTTTCACCGATGTCGACGAGTCATCGATAGTAGCGACGTCGATGTGATTTTCATTCACCAAAATGCAAATTTTCCTCTGTTTGCCGATAAATCAACAGGTTTAAAGTTGCTTTGTTTCGAGTCCTCTATTTGTTTATTGTAAGAGCCGAGTTGAAAAGCAAAGATAAATGGATTTGAGATCGATAAACTTAAACACGTGCAACACGACTCTCGGAGAAAAATAGAAAAAGCTTTCGAGCGAAAAATGCCATGAAATGGTGGTCATTCTTGACTTGAGTTTCAACTCGAGAAAAAAAATACAACAAAGCTAAACTTAGATCAAGAAATATTAATAATGAAAAAAATTCCCAACTGGATTTGGTTTCCGACTGTGTCCTACACAGGGCCCTTGCGGCAACTGTGTTCATAATAGTTTGGCACCATTTAAACAATGGAACAATAAAATCGTTGTGGTCTCGTGAATGAAAAATCATACCAATAACTTTTTCAAAGGCAAACCGAGAACGAGGTGAATTTGAGAAGGAAGGGAGGTTCTTAAGAAAGTTGCATGGGCGAGTTGGTGGAATCTTGACAAGTATTTCCGCGCAGCAGAGTCAGCTGATTCATGTGGCGCTTAATTGATTGATATTGATCAAGCGTTCAATCAATAGTTATTTGTCACGAAATCTCTTTTTTAAAAGGTAACAATAGTCATAACCTCTTCGATTGGATACGGCTCGTTTCATCGCAAGGAAAAACATTCAATTTCCTTGTAGCGATCAAAATTTTAAAAAAAAGAAAGAAAAAGAAGAGGACGGCAATCCACAGCTTTTACTCTCATATATCTATTTTGTTGCCACTCAGACGTCCGACGGTCGCCTCTCGCTCAAAGAGTTTCAAATGTTTGCTGTAGAAACTGTTGTTCAGATCGGTGTTTTCATTTGCGGAAACTTATTGCACTTAACTTAATAAAACAAGAAACATTCTTAGCATCGAATTCTAGGAGAAACACAGCATGATGATGGCGATGAAATTATCGAACGAGCTGAAAACTGAAATTTTCTCAAAAGATAACCCAGCAAGACAGTGGATGATGAGATTGGCCCGAAGCAAAATTCTCTTTTGTTTGGTATTTTGCCCTCTTTAAAATGTTCAATTTTTCGGTCGAATTCTGTGTAATTTATTACCTTAAAAGGTAATATAGGAAGTGTGAAGCCTTAACTCAATAAGAGATCCTGGCATTAAATAATAATGTTATCCTTTTTGTTATGATAATTACCAGCGATAACAGTTGTACAGCCTGAAAGGTGTTTCGTGGTAATATCAGTCACTGTATATAAAGTAAGAATATATCCAACTGGAATGTTGTGGATTTTTGAATTGTTAAACAATGCTCAAAACTTATCAGTTCTCATCTGTTTAAATTATGTGCGGTATGGCGGGTCATGAGGTTTGTGTTCAAGAGCATTGTTTGGTTGTCAAAGACTTAATATTTGTCACAACAGGAGTGGAAATGTAAAATCAGCTTATCTTGATACGAAAAAAGCTATTTAATACAAAATATCCTTAATATGCAACATTTGGAGAAAAAATTATTATACTGCCTTATCTTGATCTTTAGAAAACAAAATATATCCTTTCAATTTAATTGAAATGTCTTCAGTTTAAAGTTCTGGAATCATTGAAATAAAGTTTTTTGTGTGCCCTTGGCAAGATTTCCTGTGCTGTTAAAACATATTCAAAGGCTAAGTCATTGACAGATTAAAGCCTAGGTCATGAACTTTCATACAAAGACACCTTAATTTGTTGTGCTTTTGAGACACCTAATGTTCCTCTTTGTGGAAACTGATAAGAAAAAGTTTGCCTAGGGGAGCTAACAAGTGCTCAAGTTATGTCTCGACCTGTCGTTCTCTGACTGGGCAAAGCTATGCTGTATAGAAGCTGTTTTGCACGTGATGCACTTACACCTAAACAGAATGTGCATTACAACAATTTTCTATGGAGTCTTGCAAATAATCCAGGATCCTATGGCTCTTGTATTACACTCAAGTCTTTTACAATAACTACTCAACCTTTCAGGTTCAAAGCTAAACCTTAGTGCAACTGTGTCACTTGCATATTTCCACACCTCACACTGCTCATACTTATTTTGCTCATTTCCCTTGAGTTCCCAGCAGCTTGTTGCAACGTTTACAATGATTTAGGTCTGCTGAATTTCTGATTACTTTGGATTCATGGCACTTAATATAAAGGTGCTCTGACTAAATGAATAGACTTACACTGTACCTTCAAACTTGCCCTTTAATAGGAATGGATGTGATCCTTAGTCGCCGTGATGAACTTGAGGACACTGAGATATTCCAGTTAGAATTTGACAAGGCCAGTGACAAGGGACGGGTAGCAGTACGTGGAACCAATGGCAAATACTGGAACCTAGGCGAGAAGGGCATGACAGCATCAGCAGAAGCACCAGGAGATAACTGCTGGTTTGAGCTGGAATGGCATGGCAAACAGATTGTTTTCAAAGCTGGAAATGGGAAGTACATCACAGGCAAGGACAATGGTCATCTTATCGAGGGCAGCGATGAAATTGACCAGGAGAGAGGGTTTCATGTGCCAGAGCTGGTCAACAGACCCATGCTGGTGCTGCGTGGTGAACATGGCTTTGTTGGAGTGAAATCTGGAAAAGATTTATTAGAGAGCAATCATTCTAAATATGATGTGTTCCTTGTGACATGCAAGAATGGCCTGTACAAGATCCATACCGACTCTGGTAAGTACTGGTGCTGTGATGAGAAAGGCAACGTAATGTTGGCAAATGACGAAGCTGGTGCCCATGAGTACAGTATTGAACTTCCTAAGTACAACAGAATGGCAATAAAAGCTGCTAATGGACTTTACATTGAGGGCCACCAGAATGGATCCTTTTGTGCCACAGGAAAGTCGCTTGGAAAAAACAGTTTATGGGAGTACTAAACCACAGCAGGTGTAGAATTAATTAATAATTTTCAAACTTAGAGGACAATATTTTTTAACCAAGTAAACTGAAAGCATAACAAATAATTTCCAAAAAAATCCTTAAAGAAGCAAATTTAACTAATTTCTTCTTAGTCTTTGATGATATAGTTATTACACTGTAATTTTATCATAAGAAGGCTGATTAAGATCACTTCTGAGTTTCACTTCAGTTTTCACACTTAACCCTCTAACTCCCAAGATCTGATTGTCAATTCTCCCTTGTAGCTGCCACACATTTCCTTTTAAATTAGTTATGAGAACTTAGTGCTAGATCAAGATAGCAGCTTCTACCTGATAAGTTTGAATATTCTCATCACCTGTTTGCTGAAGAATGTATGGTTTTTGAGGGAGAAGTTTTATGTTAATCACTTCTGGGAGTTAAAGGGTTAAACAATTTAATTTTCATGGCTTTGAAGACCAGAAGAATTAACATAACAAAAAGGTTAGAATGTTACTGCTACATGAAGCCCAGTAACATCTGTTTTCAACATTAAAAAGTAACATCTTCAATCAAAGTATGCAATAAGCTAAACATTGAAGCCATTGTTATTTTTACTATCATTATTATTGTTGTTATCATTATTAGTTTGTTTACAATTAAATTCACTCAATGGGGCAAAAAATTTTTTGCTGGTTAATGACCTGAATTTCTCAATGTCAAGTCAGAATCCATATTAGAAAAACAAAACAAAAACAAGAAAACATTAAATGACAAAAAAGTTAAACATTACATTACCAAAATTCATTTATTTAGGTGGCAAAGAGTGAAGAGAAACGGTGAAGTTTTGCCAATTATTGGATAAGGTCAGAGAGTACCTCTACTGGCAATTTACAGTCTCAAAAAAAATACTAGACAAGAAGTGTGCATTCACTTAACTTACAAACCAGATCCCTAGACTAAGAGAGAACAGTATGCAAAAATTACTTTAAGAATACTTGTTAAATTAATCACAGTACTATCTATCTTACAGAAGATCAAGTTAGTATTTTTGGGTTTAAATGTCAAGGAGCAAATTCCCTACATCAAAAATTGTCTCTTCACAAAATGAAGACTACTTACAAAAAAATTGAAATGGTGAAGTTGTAAACCCTGCTGTTGTTTTGAACTATGAATAAAACTGTTACATCCCTTTATCACTAATTTCCCTTGGTATTTTCATGTGTATTGATTATTTCCCACTCAAAATAACTTATAATGCTTGGTTAACATGACACATTCTGGCCTTTTGTTCTCTAGAGTTATTTTGGCAGGAAAACCTCAAAAATTTGCTACAGGTAAATTTCTACTGTATGTGTCGCAAAATTCCTTTTGTTACATGCATTATGTTTCAGCAATTTAAGTTCCAGAAGCTTGCCGTTCAGTCTACATTTTTAGCCTCCCAGCATGTTTTAACCTTGCACACAAATTTTTTTTAGATGCAACTTTTCACTTTGAAGTAAGTAATATCACTTCCTGTCATGCCAAGCAGTACCCTTCCACTACCTAAAGTCAAAACATTTGAAAGCAGAAGGCACATAAGAAATAGGTGCTAGGTAATAATAAGTTCCATGTTGTTTCCTCAGATTATAAAAAAAAGAGGCTTGGAACTTTTAAGTTAAAATACCCCAGGCATTCCACAAAGTTTGTACCAACCTGATCAAGGAATTGATTCACACATCTAAACCTGTTCTGATAACTTATCAATCAGTCCCACTCCAAACTGAGAAATGGCTACCATACAAACTTCCAGATTGAATTTCTATATTTGTACCATATTTCATTGATCATTGTGGCAAAGGAAGGTTTGACCCTTTCACTCCCAAGATCTTATTAGTAATTCTCCTAACTATCTTCCATACAATTCTTATGATGTTAGTTCAGAGAATTTTGTATTGGATCAACTAACAATCCCATAATTGATATTCTTCTCTATTCTCATCACCTACTCGCTTGATATGGTATTGATATTGTTAGGAGAAATTCTGTCTTGGTCACTTGTGGGAGTGAAAGGTAAATAGCTAACAATAGCAGACTAACCAGTAGTGATGGCCAACAACCAGCTCTTAATGACAACTCTACAGTTTGAACGACACATCCAAGAAATGGGTGTTGAGAAGAGCTGAACTTATTTGCTGTATGGAGTTATCAAGATTTATAGCATGATCATTTATAACATACGAAAGGAGAATTCATAATTAGATATCGGGAGATTGAGGGTAAAATCAATTTTAAGCCACCCAATTTTCCTTAGCAGCTAGTACTTAGAACTGTCAGAACACTCTTAATGTGATCAATGACCAACTCAAGCTCAACTATCCATTATTTATCCAGAGTATAAAAATTAATAATTATGGGAAGAGCTTTGATATTTGAAGCTTTCGTTGCAGTTATCATGACAGGTTTGCTCCAATAATTTCGGCATCTGCATAGCTTTTTCGGTATTTTGCAATTTTGCATACAGCATACAAATCATCGTTCAAAGACATAATTAACAAAAAAATTCAACTTTGAAAGAAACATTCTTCAATTCATTTTGACACGTCGCCCCTGGCTATCAAAGCAGTTATCTGACGATCGATCGAATGTGTTTCAACCTGTACTTTCCAAAAAACAAAAGAAATACTTTACAGATTGATATCTCATCAACGAGTTCTGTTCACCGCCTGTCAAGTGCAAATACTCTTTTGAAAGTTAGCACTGAAAGAATTTTTCTACCTGAAGCACAGTGCAGACCGACAGATTTGCTGCTTCGACGGGTCTGGTGACGAACAGCTTACCTCTTAGTGTTAAGTAAGCCTCTTTTTTTCGGCATTTCACTCCGTCTCCTGTGCGAATTTACCACGGGCATGATTGGAAAGTGCTAGATTGGTCCATTTCCCGAGTGACTGTTCGCGTCTCCAGGCAGTGCGATCCAACCGTGTTCTGTGATTGGCTCATTTTTACACCATGGAAAATCTGTATCAAAGCGACTGTATCAGGACTTTGAACAAGTGGATGGTGGATGGAATAAAAGCCCGAAAAAAGGTTGCCTTGCGCGAAAAGCCTCAAGATATGAATATTGATATTGCCACCGATATAATAATGATCTTGAGCTTTTTCATCAGATTGAATAATGAATGGACTTGATAGGTTGTTTCACATTTCCAAAAATCTGAACTCAAGAAAACCAGAGTAATCAGGGTAACTTGAACAGAAGCCAGACATTTCTATTATTTTAAAACATTATGGTCTATTTATTTCCTACAATTTGTTTAAACGTTCCGTCGTTTTAATAGTAATACATCCGAGGGGATATCCGAAAGCTCTTATTTCGACTTACGTACGGATTTATAAAGCTTAGACTGTAAGCCAAGATTCCCTCAGAAATGTCATTCCGTCTCTAGATTTTGTATTGGATTAGGTAAAGAAAGCCAAATTCAGCACAGTAAAACTATCTCACCGCGACACGCATCGTGACACACGTAGATCTACGAGAAGAGACTGGGCGGAGAGCAAACAACAATTTAATGGACACAGCTCCAAAAGCCTTGGTGAACATTCCTGACTATGGTTTCCTAATCGGTTTTTTTTTTTCTCTCTCTTTTTAGATCGTACCACTTTCAGAATAAATTTATATATCTTAGAGCCACTATAATATTCATACAGTGTAAAAACATGCGCGACGACGCCAAATGATTTCACGGATAAAAGATACTTTAATATTCGCTAATCAAATTTTATAGGCTAGGGGAATTTTTCCAGAAAAAGGAGTACCTATAAATTTACGACCTTTTTTTCTTCTAAACCCCCTGTGACAAAAATATGGGTAGTAATAAGAATTTAATCAAACAAAGAAAACTACTATTACCCATAAAGCCATCTAGAACTATCGCGTACGCTTTCGTTAATTCGTCAGTTATTGAAACCTTAACCCGCAGAGCAGGCGTAGCTTTAGCGGGCGAGTGCACAGAATTTCCTTGATGAAAGTAATAGCTGCCATCTCTGATTTTTACAGCAGCAGAAGGCAAGGGAGAAAAAGTAGTTTGTACCATAGGGGTGAAAGGCGGTCAAAACGAATGAGAGGGGATGGGAGAGGTGGTTCCCTCACCTTTCCCCGCCCCCTCCCCTCCACCGTCCCCTCTAACTCAAAATCGAACGTGGCCGGTCGCTTAAACGATCGCGAGCTTGTAACATTAACTCGCCCTAATAATACGCCTGCACTGTAGGCTATTGAAACCTGAACTGTATCCTCCAAGACAAAATACCTCTCCATGATTGAATAACTAATATAAACTCTAGCCTTATAGGTCATTTGAGTCACTTATAATATAAAATTCCCAAAACAGTTTCGTTTCCAAAAATGGACTAACTAATATGACATTATCTATCACCAGGGCTCTGAGAACCCCAACGAGATGACAGCAGGGATCCAGTTGTTCAAAGAAAAAATAACGCTATCCAACGGATAAATCGCTATTCAGTGGATAAGTGTTAACAAAACATACTGTGCTATCCACCAGATAAAGATAAATAAGGTGGACAGCGTTATCCACCCTTTAAACAACCAGAAACCAATCTGTAAGTTAAAAGAAGTTCAAATATACAATCTCGCCTCTTCACGCACTCCTCTGTACCTCTGTATGAACTAACTGACCACCTGGAAGAGGATTAAATACATGTGTAACATGAAGTACTAGGAAGAAGTGACGCCATATTAACACACAAAAGTTGTTCACTGTAGGAATAGCAGCGAGCCAAACGAAATGACCTATTCGTACTCAAATCGGAGCCATTCCTAATTCGAATTATCCAACCACAAAACAGTGCTAGCATTTTTCATCGTTTCAAAGTTTTTGATTGAATACTTATTCTCTATTGTACATTTTGTTCTGTGCTACTTCTTTAACATAATCTAGACATCACTTCTGGCCCATTTTCGACGATATCATAAAGGCTATAGACCATAGGCATCGTCAGTGCTTGAAAATGTGCCAAACAATCAAAACGGATATGACCTACATTTAAAAAATCTCAGTATCTTTTGCAATTATAAGGTTTATTTCTTACTGCTCTGCGGTGGATTGTAAAATCTAAGAGACTTGTGCAATCCTTACACATCCGTATCCTTAGTATCATAAATGAGGCCTCTGGATTCATTATTGTCAACGTCCACGTCGTTGTGTCCTTTAGTAGAGTCGTTGGCTGTACTGGCTAGAAGGTTACGTTTTGGTAACACAGGGGAATCCTCTTCTGTTAGACGCACCGACACTTTCTCCTGCGTTTTAACGTACATGGTCCAAGGTGAGACGTCTGCTTGGTTCTTCTCCGGTTGAAACAAGATCACGTACCACTTAGGGAGGTAGATACAACCCAAGATGTTGACAGCGAATAGGAAATCCACAAAGGCCAAGCCAAAAATCTTGCCTTTTCCATTTACGCCGTAGTTGATGGTGACGTAGAGGAAACAGATCACGTACCAATTGAACATGCAAAGCGACGTCCAGCGCACCTCCATGTCATTCTCGGGGGAGATCTCCTCGCTCATGGACATAATTGAATACACGGTGGCCACCGCCATGATGTAGAAAATGACGACCAAAAAACCGAATCCCTCATGGATGGAACACTCGATGTACACAGTGAAAGGGTCATCCGTAGGGTGGCGTAAAATCTCGTTTGGCAGAAAAAACGCTATGACAATTGTAACACCTATGTGGATGAGAACTGTTGCTATGGCAAACAATATACGCGGCGTACAAATGCACTGTCCCCAACTCTCCTTGATTTGACCTTCCGGGTCGTAGTACCGGTTGTCGACAAATATGCTTCTAGCTATTAGGGCAGCTAAGGGAATACCAAGTGCTATGATGAAGAACCCTCGATAACCCTCACAGGAGGAGGCGCTGGGTTTACTGAGGAGGGGGACTGGAATCAAGAAGAGAATAATAACAAAAGGCAACAGAACTAACATAGCATTCCTGGCTCGACGCATCACAGGCGTGCCTCTGTTCTTGAACAGCACTACTGCAACGTAAATGCTAAAACACATTCCTGCCACCATGATGAACAACATAACCAGGCTGCCAGCGTCGCTCCAATAAACGTAGTCTTCAAAGTGAGTGATGCATTCAGTCTTTGCAGCGTTGGCCGTGGACCCCGGTAGACAAGGAATGCATTTTACTGAATCGTCCTCTGTGCTGATGGAATTTTCTGCACATGGTAAGCAGTGCCAACAACACTCGGACTCGCCTCGGGTTTTCTTCAAGGCTTTGTACTTTCCAGGTTTGCATGGATCGTGGCAGATGGATTTCGGTACACTGGTTTCCTTTGTATTCCATTGGATCTCTGTCAAAGATCGCAAAGTCAGTTCTGGGTTTTCTGTGCCCGATTGCTTCCAAGTGCCAACAGAATTGAGCTTAAGGTATGTCTGATCTCGAGCTGACATGGCTGATCCATTTCCAGTTTTCTGAAGGATTTCGATTTTGTACTCAACATCTTTTAAGTTTCTCTGACGGTCGAAACGTATCCTTTGACCACTAAGGCTTGTGAAATTTACATTCTGTATGAACTTGTGAAAGTCGTGCTTTTCTGGGCAGTTAGTTTTGCACTTTTCACGTGCAGAAAGTGCATGAGCCACGGCAAAAATAGAATCAATAGTGCAGGTGGCACTGTATGCCATCGACTTTAACTCAGTCACAAGCTGTTCCAGCGAAGTCTTGTTCAAATGGACAGCGGTGGGTACCACAGAAGGGATAGTAGTGGTCGGGGCTGATGTGGACGGTGCAGGCGGAACTGTAGATGGAGGCTCCGTACTATTTTTTGTGGAGTTAGAGGAATTACTCTTTGGCGGAGTGGTAACTGCAGGCGGCTGGGTCGGTGGACTGGTTGTAGTTTTCACAATAGGTTTCGTGGCTGGTTCAGGGGAAGCCGGACCTAAGGACACGATGTCCATAATCCATGCGTTGCGGCCAGGATTTGACATCAATTGTTGAAGATGAGCTTTAAATTTTCCAATCACTGCGGACGCACCTACTCTAAACATTCCTTGAGCTGCTGTATTTTCGATCGAAAATTTGGCCGCGTTGTCCCATGACGAATCGGTTCCGATCCACGTTAAATCGTTAATTTTCTGCTTAAATGCTTCGTCAATGATGCTCTTGAAAAGATCTTTTGAAGTCAACATTACAATCACCGAAAAATTTTTCTCAGCTTTCAGAGAACTGATAAATGTCTTGACTTGCGTGCCGCTCGCATTTGATGCCAACGAATACTTTTTACCGATACAGACAAATTTATCCAAGGCCTCTTGTTCAAGAAGGTCTGCTGTATACTTTCCCACAGGGCTGTCGTTGTATACTACTCCAACATATGTCCAGTTTAATCGCGCTGCGAGATGAACAATCGCCCTAAGGTTGGATCTGTCCCTCGCGATAGCATGAAATATAAATTCTGCGCGAGATATAAGATCGGGCTTTCTCTCGACTCGGTAAGTGGAAGCGATGCAGCTCATGTGTGGCGTTTGACCGGAGAACAGGATCATCAGTGCGCGGTAAAATACGTCGGTATCGTCATGTTTCTGAGGTAGATCGCCCACAGCTGCAGCTAGAAACTGGTCTTTAGGTCGGTGAGAATTCACCACCAGGTCCATGGCCGCTTCATCCGCCCGAGGACAAGTGTCCCTAATTTCATAACCTAGTGATTGGTTGAGGGAAACAATTTTCTTCTTATTGATTTCGTCCACAGCAAATAAAATGGCCTCGACCGTCAAGATCCCTCGTAAGTTAGGTTTAACACACGAGTCTCCTGTTTCCCTCTGATGCACGGGAACAAGACCGGCGACAATCAAACCACTTGGCTTTTTCATATCTCTGTTCGCACAGGTGAAGTTGATGCAGAGCGAACAACAAAACCAAAGCACGCTAAAAACCACACTCGTATGAAATCCTTCCATGCCGAATTCGTCCTTCGTACAGAAATTAAATTAAGAAGGGAACCATGGACGGCGTCTGGTGAGCCTGATAAAGTCAGATGAAATAACTAAGTTCAACGAACAATGAAAAGATTTACTCAATTCATAATAAACAGATAATTTAGATGATTGCGCAAATTATGAGAATGATAAAGGTTTCCCAGGTCTGGTGCATGCTTCTGTTTGAAAAAGGCCTCTGAATTGCTTTTACATGAGAAATATCTACGTACCTTGAATTATAGAACGGATTGGAATGAATGAGTAATGGTTATATAAAATTTCATTTTTGTATTAAACCCATCACTTCTGCAGGAAGACTAGAAAGCGTGGAATTGTACTTCGTTGTGGATCACAGATATGTTGACACCTGAATGAATTGTCAGCTTATGACAATCGAGTTCTCTTGGATCAAGAGCATTTGCATTTAACCCCAAACAAACATAATAAAGGTAATTATCATAAGTACATCTTGCTTTAGTAAGACCTGTGGGCAGCTGCTCGTTCATTTTTAAACATTGATCAAGAAATGTGATCTCTTGTATTAAGGATTTCCATTTTCTCGCGCTTCATGTAGCAGGTTTTAACGAAAGAGGGCAACCCGAACCACATTACGAGAGCAGATAACTTACTATCGTTCAAAACATGAACTTTTTTTTTCTGGCGCCCCCTGAATTTATCGCTATCTCACTGTGACATGACACAAAACGCGTGTTGGGACTCTTTGTGACCGCAGATGCATGGGATCATATCAAAACAAAACATAAACAGAAACTGAGAAGGGTCTAGTGAACACTGTGAGGTGCTCAGAGATGAAACTGTACATGCATGTGAGGTTCTTTTTACTCAACGAGATCTGTCGATGAATGGTTCCTACACGGCCTTCCTTGCCTTAATTTAAGTAAACTTCGAAATTGGTTTTCGCGTTAGTGAGTTCCGTCTGAAGGACAGGCTTCGAAACAGAACTGCTGAACAGAACTGACCTCCAAATATTTACCCACTGGACAAAGCGATAGTTTTAAGAGCTGACATGAGTCGCTGCTGTTTCTTTGTTTTTTTACCCTATGGGCACTATCAAGGGTACAAAACACACAAAAGAGACGTTTTTGTTTAGTTTAATCCCTGAAGAGAGTTTAGACTAAACGTGCTTGCATGAAAATTATAATGCAGATGTAAAACATAAACCATAACTTAAGTTATAACGGTTGATCCCGAATGCTGATAAAAAAAATCATTACCCACTGGAGAAATTGAAGATGAACCCACAATATCGATTCCTTTTTGACAAGAAAATAACTGCAACACATCCACGACATTGTTAGACCGGATATTAATTGTTTTTTAATAAACTTATCAAGGTGTGTCAAGTTTTAAGTTGTTCTAGAAACACCGCATCACTGCCTGAAGCTATTAACCAGGCGAAGGCTGATTTCGGCTCCGTTTTATGTTTTAGAATAATAGAGGAAAATTTAATGATAACGTTCACAGTCTCTTCAGGTTTTGTAGGAGAGAAAACGAAGGAAAAAGTAGAAAACAGAGAAGAAATATATATTCTCCACTATGATCTTACAGTCGTAATCCGCAATGACACTTATTTGCTACAGATTAACACTAAAATTTTCTCTGACTAGACCAATGATTTTAGGCAACTGAAAGTTGCAATTAGTAACTGCACGTTTCTACTTGAGCAAAAGCTTTCTTGAATATGTATATGTCCACAGGGTCATCAGATAACATGGAAGAAAATTAACAATTTCCTTAAATGTCACGGTAGGTCAACAACCAGTTGTGACCATCTATCTTTCACGTGTATAGGACTAAAGGAGACTGTTTCTCACATGTGCTCTCGTAAGATAGAATAGTAGCAGAGAATTTGGACATATTAAAAGCCCTTCTTTTCTGCACAGCTTTCCGCCAAAAAATGCGGCCGTACTTTTTCGAAGAAGGACTGAATGGAGAACAGGGTAAAATTTAGTGAAGTGTAGTCACAGTGGTTGACCCTTTTTCTTTCTTGTTTATTTTATCAGGTATAATCCTTTGTAGCTGATCTACGAATTGAAATTTTATCAGCAATCAAAACTAAATCTAACTATAGTAGTCTGGTTTCGATCTCTTTCCTCGATCAGAACTGATCACAGAAGTGTTCCCAAATGCATTAACTCAGTTGCAAACCAAACAGAAAATGAATGAATTCTCTCAGACGAACACACTGTTCAAGTAAAAATGAACAAATTAATTTTCGAAGAATTGGTGAAAGATCTTAGCAATCAAACCATTTTTGTACTACTTCTTGGGGGGGAACCTGATGTTATATCGGTACAGCAAATATCCTTCCGAGCAGATTTTCAAACTTTCAGTGTGACTCTTTATCGGTCCAAAGCTAACAGATGATCAAATTTAGAGCCGAACAGGTCTGACTGTTTGTGACTTTCCTCTGAATGTCATTGATCAAGAAAAACTGAGTTTCTATTTTTTTCGAGAAGGCAATAGAGCTGTTTGAGCCCTGTCTGCCAAATGTTTCGTTAGAGCTGGGGAAGTAAGCCTAAAACTTTTAGTTCATTTCATCCACCAACTCTCTAAAATGTTCAGTCTCTCGAATGCAACAGACCATATCAAAATTTGTCATGACGCTAAAAAGTTCGCCCTCCAAATGATGGAAAATGACGTCTAAGAGTTCGTGACGGTCTAAGTGCCGATTTTACGTAAGTGTTGATTTCAGCTTGACCCTTGGTTGAATGATGAGGTTTTTGAGCAAACGTCTTTTAAAGTACGCTACGTTGCTCTGTGCAGTTATCCGCACGCTTTACTGAACCGTTGGATAAGAGGATCGGTTACTGTTCAACCGTCTTTGCGAAACGATTCGTACTTAAGCCATCTTAGACAAACTGAATTTGGCGTGACGTGTTTATTCTTTCTGTCGCAAGACTGAACGCAAGTTATGGACTTCCTCTAAAAATTACAGTTCCTAGAAAAGGTGGCCTCTGATATGCTGAGCTTTTAGACGTGAGCAATAAATTGAGACTAATTCAAAAAAGTTGCTGAAATGATACGGTGGATAATGTTGCTGAACTATTACTGTGGATTACAAAATTAAGGTAAACAGTGTAGTCCTCTATGCTAATATGAATACCGGTTTAATTCGCTTTTCGCAGCTTCTGCTTATTGCTTAAGAAATTCGTCGGAGATTATCATTAGGCATGAAATCGAGATGAAAAAGAGAGATTTAACTGTTTATCGCAGATTTGCATGTCATGCTCAGAATGTTTGTCTGTCACTGCGGTGAAGCTTAATGATATGATTTCAAGCAATGGTCCGCAGGTTCAACAAACCGGTTAATCTTTGTCAAAATGAATCTTCTTAGGAAAACACTGTACTGAGAAGATTGGGGTCTTAAGGAATAGATTTACTTAATATATTTTTATTGAAATAAATACGCTTAGGAAAAATTCTTTATCAGAAATTGCTAATAAAACCATCAAAACAACAGGTCTCCTCAAAGTACTTCTCACTCTTTACGCCGCTTGTAAAATGCATTATGACCTCAGAGCCGGTTGTTGTCATGATGCTACATCTCTATCATGCTACAAATTACCAACCAATAGCTTAAGGGATCACTGTGGTCAGTAAATGCTACACTCTAAAGTGAAGAGGTTTTGGATTGCTAGTGATTTCGAAACGAGTTCAAGCTATGTTTGAAAAAAAAGAGGATGTTTTCACCGTGTGCGTGCGAGTACAACGAATATACATTCAAAATAAAATTACGCCTGGCTATATTTACAGGGAAAACCTTCCTTTGAGTTCTAATGATCGACTCGTCTGTTAGCGAAAACAGAACGAATTAAGACTTTCCAGAGACTTCTGTTGGCTTCGTATCATAAAGTCATAATAACTTGGGCCAAGACTAGATGCAAACTTATTACCAAAAACTTCCAACGAAATAACATCTAGCATATTCTTAAGCGTGACAATCGACCAGAGTGCTTACTTTGCAGACGAATAAAAACTTACTCTGCCAGCTACTCTGACTGCTGCATATACTGCGCAAATTGAAAAAAATGAATTTATATCAATGTTCTCGAATTCTCACCGTTTAAGGAAAACTCCGCTACAGTTACCAGACGTCTAATGCAGCACAGGTTTAAAGAGCAGATTTTAGCTGTGGCCTACGCGTTCATCAGGAACGCGCTACCAAAAACCCCTTACAAACATGACAAAAATGTTAAATGCCCAATCATGGCTCACAGTCATTGAGGTGAAGATTACATATAAACAAACTGAACGGCTTACTTAACACGTGGGGTCAAGTTTCAATATTTTCTATTTTTTTCACCACAGGTAGCCCAGACGTACTGTTTCGTAAGTGGTGTTTGAAAGGTCGAAACGTTCTAAGACATCACTCGCATACCTCCAGCGAAACGACTCTTTGTTTGCATTTGCATTTTTGGTGCTGTATCCACCATCTTCTATACACACTATAGACTATACTATCTTGATATCTTAAAGGCAAAAAAATGCCATATAAACCAGCCAGGTAAAACGCGGAGGTGTTCAGCTTTAGACATGAAAAGAGAAGTTTCACTATATTCCGATTATTTACCCACCATTTGGATCTTGATAAAACTCTAGGAGGGTCTTAAATGGGGTGATGTTTTTAACGGCTAACAGTTAGTACAATTTTGGCTAATTTAACGGCTATCGGTAATATCTTTCCACTGCGGTCATCAGAAAACTTTTTACGTTTCATTTATATTTTTTTTACGACTTACGGTTAATATTTGTCAGTTTTTACGCCTATCAACTTCATTTTCTGACCGTTTTACGACTTACGGTTAACCCCATTGAGATCCTCCTCGACGATAACAGCCCCAACGGGGCCATGACGGTAAGCAAATAAACTAAGAAAAGCAGAACAATTTACCACGTATCGAGGACAAATAGGACAGGATAAAGAAGGACAAATAGGACAGGATAAAGAAGGACAAATAGGACAGGATAAAGAAGGACAAATAAATAGACAGGAAAAATACACTAGGACAAATAAATAGACAGTAATATAAAAGCCAAAGAACATCTATCCCTTGAAAAAATATTTCAAATCCTTCGCAGTAAATTTAAAATTAACCCACAGACTGACAAGTATAATAAGTGCGTCTGGGCTGCCTGCGTTTTAACCGGTAACGAGGACGTATTTTTTCTATAAACACTGGCTTTTAAGGCACATTAAGCTCCTTGTCAGTTCATCTTTCACAAAAAGAAATTTTAATCTTAATTAACGGACGAAAAATATATACCAATCGCTCAAACTATACTTAACATTGAAGATGACAGAGGAAACCAAATGTCACGACTTTTTCGTAACCTCGATTTTAAGTCGTATCACTGTGAAACACGAGCTCTTGAGTACGGCCTGGACAACAGACAACGGACAAAGGACTAGGGTGGATTTCGAACTATGTTTAAACACAAACTGAGATATAAACACAGCGCCTTTAGGAGACCAACTTTGAAAAGAAGGACCGGGTATGAAATGCGGACTACAAATCACTGGTGTACGGTTATCTAATCATAGTGATGGACGAGCCGTGAAGCCGTGAGCCGTAAAGCTGTTTTCAATGGTGAAGTTTCTTTATCACGCACAATGCTAAATTACTCGCTTTAAGTTCTGAGGAGCTTTCGATGTCGATATTTCGCGAGTTTCTTGATCTCGAGGAGTTGTAAGTGTCACTGACAGCATAAGAGCACCTTCACTTAAAGACAAATTGATTCTCCACTTAGCCCAAATACGAGGAAAATACAAGAAGTTTTGATACACGAATATAATTTTCTGGCTAAACATAAATATATCAATGTTTCAGTAATCTAGACAGGTTCACAATAGGAATTTCGATTGTTGTCATTCGCGACGCGATCTCTTTCTGTCCATTTGTTGTCAGTATGAGTCGATGTCCTCGTCTCTGGCTAAAAACGGTCAGCGGTCCAGAAGAAGATAACAGGTGTTCAAAAGATATTGCAAATCTCTGAAGAAAATCAACAAGCTGATAATATCTTCGTTGGAGTTTCAATCCTTCTTCCCAAAAAATGGGAAAAAACATTTGACGTGTTTTGTCTTTTCATGTAGATGAGAGAAAAAAATCAAGAAAAGAAAACCTAACACGTCACACGACCCATAATTAATTTAAATATGGCGTGACAGATTTTAAAGCAGAAAATATCTGAAGAGGAATAAGCTTTTACCGTAATGGAGATGCACACGAAAATGGCAAAAACGGAAAAATAACCTTTGAATATTATTGAGGTACATGTAAACGTGTTGTTGTAATGGTCATCATGTCAGAAAAACTAAATAAACAGCCGAATAATAATTACTTCAAAGTGTGCTTACCACAAGTCTTTATATTTCAGTGGCTGCGACGATCAGGGAAGAGTCCTTTCCAAATTTCCTGCGACTGGGAAGTATCTCAGGAAATATTCGTGCACTTAGAATCATCCATTGTCGAGAAAATAACGTTTGCTAAAATGAAACAAAAACAATAAAGCAAAAGACGAAACGAAAAATTACATTATATCAATCATTGACTTGCTTAATCTGCAATAATCCAGCTTTGATTCAAGCGCTGTGAGTATGATTTGTAATACAGAAATGGATTCTCATCGGGGGGTGAACCTTTTCTGCAATCACACGAAGCGGAAACAATGCTCTTGAAAGAGTAGAACTAATCAAGACACCAAAGTCTATTCAAGGTTACCTAAACGCTATAAAAGAAACTTTACCCCAGTTGATCAGCTTCAATGGCCGGATGCAGGAAACCAATTGCTTTCTGTACGGGTTTTAATTTGAATGAACCAAATCATTTATTTTCCACAAACGTAAGTTATAAATTATTTATAGAGACGTGCGTGTACATATAAATGGACTTTCTTTCCTTTTTAGTCAAACGAACGCAATTATCCACTCGAAAAGATGGCAGAAGTTTTGATCAGTCTGCTATCATCAGAAACTGCCAAGATGTTTTGTGCTTAATGCCTGTCCACAATGATAATTCTATCCTGTAGTCTTTCATGTTTGACAGGTGATCCGAGCAAAATTTTAATGCCTTCCTGTCTACGAATATGGCTTAATTTAAAGCGATCCACATGAAAGTTTTTCTCTATTTTTACTATGTTTTGTTTTATAATTAATGCCTTGCCTATTCCACAATTATCTTTCCCTATTCTCTTCTAAAAAAAAGGAAATAAAATCTAACGGGTGTCATTTGTTATGCAGGAAACTCTAATGAGTTGTATTGCCTATCTCCTATTCACATCTTGTCTATCGGTTAGACTGAAATGAATCTGCGTCTAATTTTAACTGCAGAAAAATCCAAAGATGAGAGGTAGATCAGGAGATATGATAAAATGAGGAAACAAAATAAAGCCATAAAAATGATAAGGGAATGGGACTTAGGAAATTGTTGTAAGAGGCAAGGGACAGTTAGCTGGTGTGTCGTGCCGGTAGGTAAAATGAGAGAGCAAATGGTTCACGTTAAAGAGCTGAATCGAGGAGATTTCTCTCCTTGTATAAACAAGGTAACAGTTAAGAAGACGAGAATAAAAGATCATTCAATCTCGATAACCAGGGAAACAACAGACTTACGTTTATATGCAGATCTTTTACAGTCACTGTCCAATCCCCTGAAAGTCATCAACCTTTCATACCTTAACATCAGTATGCATATTCTCCATACTGTTCTTTATACATTTTCTAAGGTGCTGACAAGGAGAATTTGTTTGCCAATCAAAGCTTCTCCAATTGGTGATCATTTCCTTAATTCTCACGACCTTAACGTGTGATTCAGGAGTGATATTCCAGGGAGAAATTTGATGTTAGTCACTCTTAGGGTTTAAAGGGTTAAGGAATAGCGTACCTAACATGACAATTGAGGCGTAAGGGATGGTGATTGCCACTTCATCTTGACAACCCGAGAATGGGAACTGATAACTGTTGATACCCCTTGGACTTTCTTCATCCCGCTCTCAGGAAGATGGGGCACGTTGTGAGAAAGAGCTGGGCTGATTTCAATCACCATGACAAAGATTTTAAGAACCAACATCTTGAAAAAGTTAACCTTAATTTGTCAAGTTAAACATTTTTAATGTGTGTTAATCTTCTCCATTTTTTGTCCGTAGAAAAGAGCGGGAAACGTGTACGCGAAAAAACGGTGGGGTTTTGGGAGAAGAGAGTAGGGGGGTCAGCTGCAGCTGCCGTCTATCGCTCTTGACCATCCAACACAGAGGTCAAACGGTGCCGCATGCGCACTAACATTCAAGCAGCATGGCTAGTAAACAAAGCCTTTTCATCGAGAGCTCAAGTGCGACGCGCGACGAAAGTACATCAGTTTGCATTTTTTAAAGAAAGTTCGAAGTTTCTGAGGCCACTACTTACATATGTCGTTGTTCTAGACTTTCCACCCTCCTCATTTTTTTACAGTTTACAAGGTGGCGTGATGGAGTCGCTGGTGAGCTTGGCCATGGTGCTTGTAGTTATCCTTTGTTTTGTTCATGGTGGAATTGCCGGCAAGTATTGAAGGATATGTATGAAAAATAAAAAAAAAGAACTACACAAGATATTTGTGACGATAGCAGGTCTATAGCTATGTTTACCGCAGACAGAAGACCGGAAACAAGAGCAACAGAGAAAGGGGTAGAGAAAGGTTTTGTCATTTACCTTCATCACCGAAACGAAGCGTCTGCGTTTAAAACAGTTGGGTTATTTAACAATAAAGCAAACACAAGATTGAACTTTTCGCTAAAATCCGTCTTTCATTTGTCCTACGTATTGGAAATTTAACCTTTCCTTCCTCACTTTACAATGGACACGCGCCCAGAACTGCAGTCCGCCATATCGTTTTTAGACTCTTGCAAAACGAACGGTGTTTGACAATCCACGTTTCCTTTCTTCTTCTCGTTTTAACATTTCCGAAATCTGACGTTCTGGTGTTTTTGCGATTACCCTCACGCTGAAGACACTTTTGCGGCAAAAAGTACTGACAATAAATTAATCAAATCATTGTGTTGTAGCATGATGAATTTCGACTGGCATCTCATAATATAGGTGCTGTTCAATGACAAATAACCTAAAGTTTCAGCTAGATTAAACAACTTAACGAAACTAATGATTCTTTAAACTGTTCATTGAATGTACTATTTGAACTAACATGTCGCCTGTTTGCTACCCGGCTGCAGCTGATTATGCAGTGAACAAGACTTTCAGTATTTTAAAATATTTTTTCTGAATGGCAATTCATTATTTCAGACCTGAAAACTCAGTGTAAATAATTCCACATTCGGCTTCTAGCTTTCCCAGACACGGCTTGCTTTTGCGTAAATATGTAGGAAAACCCGGAAAATTTTCCAATGCAAGTAAAATAAAATCTTTATGAAAAAATCCAATTTAAGTGAGAACAAAGTTCTTAAAACAGACTTTCTTCACATCTTAATGAGTGACTATCATCCATCGAATCGAACAAAAAAAATAACAACTGAAAACCATTTCGTTTCTTTTCGCACACTGCAAAGCTATATGCTCCACAAAAAAGGGACTGACAGCTCTCCAACATCCCGCGTTTATATGGCACAGGCAGTCAACAAAAGGATTGAGAACTGACAGACAATTCAGTATCATTCTTCAAGTGTTTGCCCATTAAAAGATAACCTTTCTGTTAATTCCTTTTCATCCAAACCGACAATATCTGAAGACATCATCAAAGTAACCTGTTCTGTGCTAATTATAGCTGAGGGAGAAACTTTTCTATACCTCCAATCAGGTAGTCATCTAGAATTTATCAGTTTTTTTTCGTTATCAAGCATATATTTCTATGTAACTTGCAACGGCTTTCCCCTTGCCCAATCAAAGCTTGTTATTCCATCATTTTTAACCCGGACCATACATCAGAAAACAAAACTGATGCAGATCTCTTCGACCAACACTGAGGTGACGAAGATTCCTCTCTCGTAATCTAGCACTTTGAAACCTTTAACAACTTCATCTGATACCATAAGCATTTTCTATAATTATATAGGATGCTTTGATCAAGGTAGCACGCACACAAGTCTTTAGGAGTCGTTAACAATCATGCTTGACTACAACAGCGAATCTTAAATTTTTCTGTTTTATTCAGCCTTTTGTCGATGTTCCCTCCGGCAAAGTAAAGCTCTACTGTTCTTTCCTTTATGATGCGAATTACGGGGCTATTGTGATATTTGATTAAACCGTTGACCGGTAAATTCAAAAGCAACCAGTCGACATCAAATTTGGCCTCACAAGATCAATATTATTATTTTCCGCTCAAGCGTCGGGCGGGGTTAAAAAGGATATTGTCTTAATTTGTTACTTTTTTTCTTACTTATATCTAAAATTTCGAGAAACCGCTATTCTTAATCATTTGTTACTCAAGAGTTTTTGAAGTTTCTGCTAAACAATACTAGCTTTGATAAAACTGCCGAAAACACAAGAGCTAAAAAGACGCGCACTACTCCTGTTGTTGCACTGCTGATATTTCTCAAAGAATTGAACAGCGTCACGATATTTCCCTTGAATTTTCGCACCCCAAAGAGTTATCGTCATCTTGAAAGGGCGTAATATAAGCATGGGAAAAATCGAGAAATAAAAAAGATGTAATAAAAAACAAAAAGGGCAAACAGATTATCACAATATAACTTGAGAATATCAACAAGGATCGCAAATGGGAAAATTGAAAAGTTGAGTCATAATCTCTCAACACGAACAATCTGTCAATTAGCAGTCCGTTGACGGTACGAACTACCGTGCCTGCCAGCACGGCGATCGAAATACGGTACTCATATAAAGATGCCATACGGTTACCCCCCCCCCCCCCCTCCATACTGTAGAGAGTGATCTCTTCTCTCAACACCAATTGGTTTTCAAAAACTGGTAAAACACTTTACACTATTTTTCTGACGGTGTCAAGTGTTTTCCAGGTAATCACGAAAGCACATGAACCTATATATAATTTTTTCGTCTTTGAAAAACATAAACCAAGCCAATCAGACAAGAGGAAATATCCAAAGGAGCCAAGCAAACTATTCTGGTTATGTATATGGATAAGATTTTGGAATATATTCAAACCCCATCAAATGGGATATTCCTGGGAGTGCCTCTTTATAAGTCTTCTTAAAGCGATTAGGGAAGGGATTGAGGTTTCTCTCGAGAGCTAATAATTAATTAGCGAAATTAAGTACCCCTACCAAGTTTTTTGGCATGTCTCGCACTGTCACATAAGTTGGTTCCCACTGATGTGTTAATTAAACACATTTCAGCATCTTGCGAATGGGAACCGCTGCGAACAGATTCTACTCAAAATGCACAAGTGTGTGGTGATCATTAAAATGTAACATACAAATTCTGGTCACTGGACAAACAGAGAACACAGGATTAATTTCATATTTTCATTCAAATATATTGCCGACTGAAATAGATAAACTACCTGACTTAAGAAGTATACAATCTTTTGTGCTGGGACGCTTAATTTTATTATGGACAATACATTCTATTGTATCTTTGTGTCATTGACTGAAAAATTACACCTTTGACTGAAATCATCAGGCTTTGAACCTTCCATCTTCACGTGAATCATTGCGCAAACGCTTAGCGTCCACATTCAGTGATGCAGGATAGCTGTTTCATGAACATTGTAACGTGACCTTACTACGAATTCGATAGAGGTCATTGGTAAAGCGTCTGAAATACTAATTTGGGGGTTAGAGGATTTTATTCATGTTGGAAACTTGGAATTTCTTTTGTCCAAGAATACTTCTATCATTGACTGAAAAATTTCATACTTCACTGCATACTGTTGTCTCTATTATCGATGAAAGACATAAACAGTCCGACAACAATCACTAGCTTGAATATGTACGTTGTAAAATATTACGTGGATAAATTTCACAGTGTTCAATACCACTTGACGAAAGGATGTAAAGGATCTTGATACAAATTGATGTAAATCGTTACATTTCATTGATTTCTATCGTGTCCCTAAAAGTAGAATCTCATGCCCTCAATACCCTCAAGTCACAGCTCACCGGCTCTAAAAGGTTCAATTTGCAAAATGAATAATTCGATAAAGACAACAAAAGATTGAATGAAATACTTTTTAGTTAATGTCTTAGTCTGTTACCATAGATTTACAGTTTGTTTAGAAACGCTTCAGTCCATGACAAAGATCTCTCGCTGTGCATCACTCGACACACACTCGTCACAATTCTAATTCGACCATTTGAGCGAGCGCCGCGAACAGGACGTACGCATATTAAGCACAAGTGTAGATTGAGGTCAAACACTGGGAGACCTGGATTTCCGTCACTCAGCGACGCCAGGTCATGCAACAACGCTTATATGGCAGTCAGACGAATGCGCAGACGTTTTAGCTCATCGAAAACACGGCAGATGAATACGCGCGCGACATCCTTATAAGAAACCTTGAAAGTACGCTTGGCTAACAATCAGCACGTCAGCGGCGTGGTTCTTGGCTCTGGTACAAGTCACTCTCGAAAACAAGTCATCAACATCGCAGAATCGTTCACCAATATTAGAGCTAAGTTTACCGCAGCAGAGAGTCAAAACTCTTGTAAAAGGTCGCATTTATCCCCACTTCAAATCGTTCTGCTGGCTCAAGGATATTAAGCCAGAGTTATCGACGTGACTAAGCACAGTGATCATATTTGAAGGCCCTGCTTAATGTCATACAAAGATTGATACGAGAGAAGAGTGCGTAGCCATTTGCAGGTAACCCAATCAATCGGAGTGCGCTCGAGAGCATGCCTTTCTGCATTTGATGAATAATTTGAAGCCAACTGAGTTATGTGAGACCAAAAATGCGACGAACAACAGGTCTTCTTGTAGTTGGAATTCTGAGTTTCATTTTAGTCGCTTCAGCTGGAGAGGGGAACCGTAATGTAATTGCTGAAGGAACAAGACGAAACAAAGGTACGACTCATTAAAGGATTCTGCTCTCACACGTTCGATTTCATTATTTAAAACCTGTGTTACAGATGCGGAAAATTTGCTTGTTCTTGACTGTGTTACGTGCGTTCATCTGATAAAGGTTACCAAACGACACTAGCTTATCGTAGAAACTGTGAAGACCGTCCGAAGCCATTCTGACAGAAATGCCTTCAAAAAAAGCTACAATAACAGCCAGACAAGAATAACTATTAGATATTTTGAAAACGACTGAGTCTTAATAGCTTTTTACTTTCCCATCGAATTGCTTCATGTCATCCGAAACTCAACTGATAAATTTTTCAACCAAAGATGTTCAGGGAGCAAGTAAGATTATTCGAGAGGACATGTGCGTTTTGGTTAGTAAGTAGGCTAATATCTCGTACAAGTATGGTGTTTTTAAGTACCATTCAGAATTTGATCAAAGCGCTCCCGAATTACCCACGACCTATGCTTTTGCTTGCATTCTTTGCAGAATTCGTAATGACTTGTTATGATGCCATTTACTAAAAAAAATCGAAACCTTTTATTGGGCTTTTTATCGCGAATAATCTAAGAGAAAACGCTTGCAGATTTGTTTGATATTGCTCATTCTGTTCCGTCCTTGATAGATAAAACCTCACCAACAGCTTGCCGACGAGGTGCCTTGTGCTGCAGACTTGGACGAAAGGCAGTACGACTTGATTACACGTCGTCAGTTTACACATGCAACATCGAGGCTTTGATACAAGGTCTGAAACACAGTAAGTCTGCAAGTCATCGATTACGCAAGCCTAACCATTCACAAGCGGATAGAATGGATGCTGCTAACTCGCTTCGCATGTCACAAGGATTTGGACGGCGTTTGAACTTCTGCAAATCTCAAAGACCAGTGCAAAGGCGATGCTTTGAAGATTGCTGCGAGCGTAGACTGCGAGAAAGGCAAGTCAAGGCAAAAGCAGCCACACAATCACAAAAGCAAAGCTCTTCTACAGAGTTGGAGACACACTCTGGAGAAACATAGTCTTTTTGAAAAAAACTCTTCCGTAGTAACACGTTGGGGTTTACATTCTAATAGAGAAGCAGGACAGAATGACTCGATAATTAACGAGATGGTTTTGCATTTGTTCCAGTTATACCGTGTCAGTGTTTCGATGCCGTTGGTAAAGTTGTTTATAAAATATTTTATTTCTAAAAAAAGAGTCAGTAGAGACGAATTTATAGTATTCGTGGAATTCTTAATTGCCATTCAAGTTCCTATTGCCGATTTACGTCTTTTCTGTAGAAGAATGTCAAGCATTTGGATTCTCTACGACCGTGGTTGACATTTGCTTCAAATAATAACGAAATAGCATGTCCATTTTCATCCAAATCGTTATTTCGTGAAGCAAAATGTGCGTCGGCCATTGGTATCCTGCCACGATGAAACAATTTTTTCTGAAGTTGTAACAAAGATCATTAGGAAATCAAATCGACTTGAAAAGGGTTTAGACCCTTAGGCATTTTAAGATCTTCATAATGGTGGAAAAGCGTAATTTCTTGTCCCGATCAGAATTCTAGTGTTGACTAAGTAAATGAATAATCTAATTTAAGACTGTCTGGTTTTATAGCGTTAATGACAGCAAAGAGACTATTAATACGTCGGCTGTGTTGTTTAGTATATCTAAGCTGTCAGCATTACACGTTCTAATGATGTGCTAAGTCAGCTGCGTGAGTAACGTATAGCAAAGTGGAGCTAAGTGGTGGGAGGGACCGAGTTACTGACAAATGTGGGCTGAGCTACCATTAGCATTGTTATCACGCGATCAAGGAACTGTTATTGACGTACTACAAACGTTCAAATATCCATCTGCAAAGCCACAGGATTGCTTGACCTCTCGAAACTTTTTGTTGTCAGGCAGTAAGACAGACGAGAGTACAAAGGACTTAAGGGAGATATTTAAGGTTAACGCTTAACGCAGGTATTAAAAACAGAGAGATTTTCCCTGGAAACTACATACACTGTTCAAGCTCTGTTTCCAGACATTAAGGCAATCCTAAGCAACTCAAGAGTAGTTGGTGCTATTAGCGGGTATAAACTAGCAATACAGGAAATAAACTGAAAGCTAGTCACAGAGATAACAGATATACGATCAAATACAATACAGATTAACGATTTGAGTGAGTAGTTGCCTTCTCCAAAGAGTTCTGATCCACGTCTTTCGATAATCTTCTAACATAGAGCAACACCTTTGATCTAATTAACAATTCCTTCTTTGCATCATAAGTCCGATAACACTCATTTTCTGGGGTAAACGTTCCTCTTTCATTAATTAGAATTCGCAATATATTTCACTCTACCAATATAGGCACCCGACGTGCAAGTTGGGTTTGAGTTAATTATCCTTTCCCTTTGAAAAAGTTTTCTTATCTTGTCAGACAATTACATAAAAGTTAAAAGAAAAGTTTCATGTAGTCATTATTGTCGGGAATTACATAAAAGTTAAAAGAAAAGTTTCATGTAGTCATTATTTTTTGCCTATCCTTTTTCCCCATATAATCTTAGCACCAAAGTCTTCGGATGCTACAGTCAAACATTTTCTCAGTGCGGATGGACCTATACTGATCCCAAGTTTTGTGGTATCAAGTTGATCTCTTGAGAAAGAAAAAACGCCGATGTCCTGAGGTCAAGAGTAAATGTAATAATAAACCCAGTAAAATGTCTGTTATTCAATGAAGCGTGTGCATTGACGTCTGAGTTCCTTCCTGTGTTAAAAACGGGAAGATTTAACTTGAGCACGCAGATTAAAGAGTCTGATTGATTACACACGTGATTGGCCAATTTTCCTCATACCAATATCAACATTATCTTTTCATAAACGTTATTACTGAAAACCCGAGCCAGGATAATTAAAGAGTAATTCGGTTGATGTGAGAAGTCTTTGCAGATTACAAAATGAAAAATAACATTCCAAAGTGTAAATTGGATAAAAATTTTAAATTCCATTATCTGGAGTAAATCCGTAAGTAAGATATAGAATGTTTATCCGTGAGGGTATTTTTGGACTTCCTCGACATTGATATCACTCAGCAGCCATATAATTGAAGTGTTCAAAACATCAGCTGTTTGCATTGCCTAAGTGATTTACGAAAAACCGCTTTTCGGCTTATCTCTAGCTCTCAGTTCCTCAGTAAAGGAAATATGAGTGTGCAGGCTACAAGTATGGGCATAGAAAAGAAGCGCTTGGGTTCCTTTTCATTCTGAATAGGATTGAAAATTATCACGTGATCACTGAGCTGAACTCGACGCTACATGACACACTATATGACAGTCAGTTAAAAAAAAAGGATAGAAACAGATCAACCAGGATTTGACGAATCAAATTGCTTCTTCTGACTTGATCAACAGAGAAAGTAATTGAAAGCAGTAATTCCACCACTTACGAACTGTGCTTAGATGTTGGTAACATTGGTGATGCCTCCATAGCTTTACACAGATCCTTCGATCTTTTGGTACGCACTGGGTGATATATATAAGTGGAATTTGGTAATTTAGATACAAAGCCAGCTGCCAAAACTAAAAAAAAGCTACTCAAATGTACTCTAGAACCTGTTTTTGTCTTTCAGTTTTGAGTTTGATTTATCAAATGCCGAATAAAAAATAGTACTAAAAAAGTTAAATGAAGAGTTGGAATTTAACACAGGATCAGCACAGACCACATCCAAAAGACCGCGTTTGATTTCTCCGACTACCTCCCAAACGTTTCCGTTTTCGTGCTTGCGCAGTTACCGAATTTGCAACGTAGAGATTTGTTCTCTTGATGTCTTTTTTTTTAACTTCCTTAAGTAATTAGCATTATCCAGAGATATTTTAATCAGTGACAAGTAACCAACGTCTTCTTTCTCGTCATCGTCTAATCGCATTAACACGTTGTAAAAACTTCCTCATTACAGAAGCGACGTTGCTTTGAAGATGCCTGTAATCTCCAGGTCGGAACTTTCAATAAATTTTTTAAACAAAGCGAAAACCGTCCAGACCGAAAAAACCTTTAATCCAGGTCTCAATTTTAATTAAAACTAATAGATTAGTCAAGGATCTCCGGTAGACACTACGCCCTTCAGTGAGTTATAGTTTCACCACACCAATTTAAGCTATTGGAATAATTTAAGTTTACTCACTCTTGACAACAGCTCATGTCAATTTGGCTTCCTGTATCATGAGTGGTCACGGAATTCTTTTAAATGAGGCATGATTCAAACGTCTTTGTACACATTGGTCCACGCGCAAAATTATCCTGTTTTATTTTCTGTTTAGTGTGAAGTAAAGAAAACAGGAGTAGCCTGAAGGCAGGCCAACACAACCTAGAACTGTAATGAATGCAGAAGTCCTGGTAGCCTGAGAGACTGATATTTTAAGGTCGAAGATAGATTAGAAATTGATTCAGATGAAGAGCCATAACAATTAAGAAACCTTTCGTGTCAGCCTACTCCGGAAAAGATTACTCTTGAGACGGATTCCTGACTAATTATTCCATCATTCCGAGCGAACTAAAGTGGAATGGATCCAATATTAAAAGGATAATCGAAATACCAACCAACGGCACAATTTCCTCCCCTTTTACTTCCCAACTGGTACAGGTGTCAATTCGATCAATTTAGGCTGTTGGATATCTTTCATTTTGAGACAGTATCTCTTAAGAAAATTTAGCTTGGCGAAAGCATTGATCAAGGATCAAGGATCAAGGACACGATTTCGTAATTTACTTCAGTAAAGGAAACTTCTCTAAGACATTTGCTCGACTTAATCGTAGAAAGTTTGATGAAGTGGAATTACTCATAAATCCTCTTAGACGTTTCCTTGGCAAAATTCCTCAACAAGTTTCCTACGCAAACACTGGAATGTTTTTGGAAAGCTTTCCATACTTTTCTATCTCTACTGCCAAGGACAAGGACAGCTCACTAAAGTATTACTCGTCGAAGGCAACTTTGTATTTGAATGCGGCAGATAGGACACGGAACCTATTTGCTGCTTGTTATAGTTGACACTGTCGGGGTAAAGTTGTTACCTTGCAAAGCCGAGACGCAGTTGAAGGTTTGCATAGCGGCTCCCAACCCCTTACGCGTTTAGATGGGGATATACAAGCACATCAAAGTTCTCTGTTGCTTGTATAAAAAAATATGCGCGACTCTGAAATATTGCAACCGTATTCTCAGGTAATACTTCATTTTTTTAAGTTTCTAAGTTTTCTAAGAATACGACTGAACTGGGTCACCTATCAACCATCCTGTAACTAAAAGAATAAAGGCGGATCCGGAATTTTTTTCTTTTGGTGGGGGGAGAGGTCTAAAGTGACTTCTCGACCAACATAAGCCCCGTCGCACAAACAAAATCAGCCATTTTAGTGGTAACATGCCTCATGTCGTTACAAGAATTTTGGTGTCAGACAAGTGGTAAATAAAGCCAAGAGGTATGATAGGAATGGGGTGTCCCCGTACCGCATTAACACGTCCGTACCCCCCCTAGATCCACCACTAATGAAATAACTCTCTGGTTATTGGAAACAAAATGCACTCAAAATAAATGTGACGGAAAAAGTAGCACGATATCCAAAAATTCACAATATCATGAAATTCTACAAATCATATTTGCAATCGCATTCGCGCAAAAATGAACATTCTCTTACCATGACTGTCCCATACTTTTGAATTCTGGAATCCCAGCATACAACGAATTCCCACGAATTTTCCCACAAAGGATAAGAGGTAAGGTGGCCTCTCATGCTGTAGGTGGTGTACGTGTAACTAACCCAGTACGTGATGGAGCACACAAAGTCTCTTTGGATGTTTAATTTCTCATCTTTGGTTTTGTTGACATAGCCGCTTTGCTTTTGACGTCTTTGCTAATTTTTGCTGACATGAACATTGTCATTATTGTTATTGTTGCTGCTGTACTTCTCGACGTCGTTGTTGTTGCGATAGTGATTGCCAGAGTCATTGCTGTCATCTTGCTTTCTCGTTCAAAATGCGTTTTGAAAGATTCCATCGTAAATCTAACAATGATCTTGATTTCACATCGCCACTTAACACTTACTTTGAATTCGGCTGAGCACTTTGAGATGATTCACAGTGAACTATCGAATACGAAACTATAAACAGAAAAATGAGAGAAAACGTTACTGAGTATCAGTTATAGAAAACAAATCTTCTAATCAATACCAGTCCAAGTTTCATTAGTTTAGTAATGGGCCCCTGGTTTAGTGCGTATTCAAATCCAACTGGTGCGGCACTCCTTCGCTGCTCAAGTTTTCATTAAGCAGATGTGTAATTCTTCCATAGCTACCTGAGGAGAAGTAACAGGGTACCAGTATTGTGTACATTCTAAACCATCAGTCAACATTCTGCGAACGAGCAGACATTAATTGACTTACCATGATGGCAGGCCGCCATTTTAGATATTTCTGTGGCGAGAGAGGTCTGGGCCAAGTGGCTGAGCCACATTATTGGCACATATCTACTTCGAATACAGTCGGCCTAAGTCAATTAAGTTCATCACGTTAGTACATATACAAAAACATGAAATTGGAGGGTTTCGAAATTTTTTCCTCTTTGTCTTCTCACGTTCATTGCTTGCCCCAGTCCTTTTCGACACAACTATGGTCCAGTTCGACTACTTTGGAAGAGACCCTCTGCGAAATCTTGAGTCATGGAATATTATAAAACGGAATTTCGAATTAACAGTCGAGTGCGAAATATAGTCAGCTGCCAAGGCGAGAGAGGATTAAGGAAAGTACCAAAGGATCTCTAACGTGGCTCTCATAAAAGGATTGCAAACACACGTTCTTTGATGAGATATTATAATCGAACTAACAGGCAACTATAGGGGTGTTTGAGTCTGAGTTAAGTAGTATACTGAACTTCTTCGTTATAAACACTGTTACACTTCTTACCCTATTTCTATTACGGACCCCTTAAGTAAGCAAGAGCACCATCCACTCAATGTATACGTATACATCCCTACTGAAAAAATAACTGCTCTTACAACCTCTGTATAGGAGTGTGCGCGCCCCAAAACCAAATACCAAGCGTTTAACATGATGTCTTCTTTTTTAAATAGGCTAATATTTGAATGATTTAGTATAGACGATGAACGAGCAAACTTTTGGCTCGTCTTTTAGCTATTCGGGGTTATATTTTTATGATCGCATTGTAATTCTAGAACTAAAGACAGATAAAGACTTAGACTTAGACTATGGAAACGTTTGTATGCATCACCCACCCCGGCTAATTTTTTCTTTAAAAGGGGCTATAAATATCTTAACAATGATGTTTGTATTCCATAAAGGATATTATAGATTATGATCAGCTTATCTTTTTCTGAGGATGTAGTAGCAGTTTATATACTATGCCACTTGTAAATATAACTACAACACACGATGAAGTGTCAAACAAGATGTGTGATATCCTTCACCTACACTTCGGTCGAATTCACCGTTTTTACCCGGGTACATTTTTATTAAACGAACTTTAAAAAGTAACATCTTGTTACTTTATGAACGTTATTGAACAAGCGTGATGTTACTGATTGCAAGATATTGGCTAATTTCTATTTTAGTGTTTTCGTGTGCAAAAACAACACGGCGTCAATATTAGGGCATCTTGACCTAACAAACTTGGTCAGTAAATGGTGCACATGATGGTCACAATATTTAATTTACGAAGTAAAACGGTCACCGTTTTGCATTGTTTTCAATTCTTTCAAATACAGGAATTATTCTCGCAAGCGGAGCTGCAATTAAAAAAATTTGCCTCGCTCGTCTGGCAGACTTTCCTCACCACCAACACGTGGCTTCGTAGCTCACTTCGTAGTAGCAACTAATATCTGGTACGCAAGGATTTGAATCCCTTCAAAGCCTGAATTGTTTCAGGTTTCTTTCCTTCAATTTCTTTGGTTGCAGCTCCACGGCGAGAATCATTCCTTTACTTGCATTTCATTGGCAGGTCAACAGAAGATTTACATCATTCTGATTTTAGTTCTTTGTAAGGATAACTGGGTTGTATTGATACCAAAAGAGTGATTCAACTGAGTAGCTCTAGAAGAAAAAACACTCAAAAACATAAAAAAAATGTTTGGGAAATTTTAGGTATTTCAACGATCAACAAACCAAGCCCTGATATTAAAATGTTGACAACGAAATTGAATAAGTTGGGAAGAATCAACGAGTTGGTAAATTTAGTACATATTTTAAACCCTCTCACCTTCACAGTTTAGTTGACTTCACTTCTCCAGCTTTGAACTCATCTATTTTGGGGCTGAACAAAATATTCCTGATTTTGATAGGGCCCACCGCATTCAGAAAAGATAATAGCTACTTTAAACAAGTGTGAACAATTTGTCTTGAAGTCGCAGAGAAGACTTCGAAAAAAGGCGGGAATTGAGGTATGTGTTTTCCGCGTCGCACACGTGATAAGGAACGAGCCAATCAACAGCCTTGAACTGTCAAAATAACTTCAATGGGTTCTGTGTTCCGCCATTTTGCCATGGTCGCATGAATTGAGAACAAGGATTTATTGGATGAAGTCGAGCATGATATACTAAAACCGAACTCAATGATTTTTTTATCATACATTTCCTAGGCAATCTGCAATCTCTCGGAGTTTGCAAAGTTTAAGAACACTACGAGGCGCTTAGAAACCAGGCAGACCTTAAACTCGATATCATAAATACGATATCCCTCATAGATATGGCAATTATCATGTCGACTTCAAACGCGATTGTATATTAATTGAATGCTCTCGACCAATCAGATTTTTCATTGCAAATCTAATGCATGATAGCAATGCACAGGTTTTGCGTTACTATGTTCTCTCGTCAATTAAGAAAATCAGTCAAAATTAAAATAACGTACTAAGACACGTATGTTTTTCGGACTTTAGCCTACGTACATTTATTAATTTTGAACTCCCTTAGGCATTTGAAAAGCCCTCTAAAAGCTGTTCAAACTCTGATTAAATTTGAGGAACGTTTTCTCGTCGATCGGAAGTCAGAATTTTTTTTCTTTGTCCCACGCTCGTGATAAGACGAAAAAAGCATATTTTTTTTTCTGCAATCGTTTTTATCAAATAATTTTTTCACATTGCACTTCTATGATCTCTTAATAATCCCACGTGCAAGGTGAAAAAAATTTTAGCGGATATATATGGTAAATAATTAAGTCATGAAACGTAGATTGATACGAAAAAAGATAAAAATTGAAGAATTATATTGAGCTGTCTAAAATTCCGACAAAATTGATCTAAAAACAATACGTATTACAGACTGTACTGTTTTCAAAGTGAGCAATGAAATGAAAGCAGTCTTAGAAAAAGTAGGAGTCGCCATGTGGGAGAGAAATCAAGTTAAAACCCTTAAACTCCCAAGATCTATAATTGTTATGATGTCAATTTGGAGAATTTGGTTAAGGATCAATTAATAATCCCCTAATTGATATTTTACTTTACTCTCATCACTTCTATGCTTGATATTGTATTGAATTTGTAAGGAGAAATTATCTCTTGGTCACTCATGGGAGGTAAAGGGTGAAGGACTGGTCATTTTTTTTTTATCGCCTGCGGGAGGGGGGAGGGGGAAGGGAGGATTTTGGTTGTATCACTGTAGAATTCACCTGATCCCCCCATAAGGCTCTGTAATATTCTCATGATTCCCCTTCCTCCCCCACCGCTCATTGGCAGTCCCCCCTTATAGTCCCCCTTTATACTAATTTGGCGACGATTGATCTCTTTCCTTTCTCACTGAAAACCATTTGATCCATCCAAAATCCCACAGGCGCACACCCCCACTAAGGCCCAGTTGTTCGAAGTCCGATTCGCGCTGACCCAAAAATTAAATTTTAATCCAGATTTCATTATTTCTTTCTTCAAAAGCCTTTTTCCGAATAAAATTTGCTCTCCTTTTAAGATTTTCCAATCATAAAATTGAAGACAAAAATAATAATTCTGAGAATTTTCTTTGGAGATTTTAGATATGAAATCAAATTTCACACTAACCCTGGTTTATCGTAATCCAGCTTTGAACAACCCGGCCCCGCCCGTAGATGTTTGAAATGAAACCTTTTCTATATATAGAATATGCAAGTTAAAAAGGCAGTAGGCGGATTCCAGTCGATCCATAAAAGCCGAACACCTTATTAATGATCCTTCAAATTTAGAGAGATGCTCACTTTCCCAGCGGAAACACAATATTGATGGCTTTTAAACCGGCAGTAATTACAACCATTAAAAACCAAAAATGTCACGTATGGACCCCCTTGTTCATCACCGAAACTAATTAACACAGCAAAGACATAAATTTATTTGACACCATGATCTTAAAGTGCAATGCTTCACTGAGCTTAGGAAGCCAAGATAATAATGAGGTGACATATTCATGTGAATAGAATAGAATAGAGTGGTTGAAGTATGAAAGAAATCTCTCAGCAACTGCGGCTTCGTGGAGAGTACCAGGGTGATCCTTGCGATGTATCTCAGTTTCTTTTTAAGTTTTTGGGAGTTAACCAATAATTAATGTGAATTGATTTACACTGACCGACGCAGTCATCCTATGTGATGGATCGTTTCAACGCTCTATGTGCTGGAGCGTTTCAAACTAGTCTGCAGATAATCAAAACTGAAAGCTCTGTCTTCTCACATCTCCTAATTAATCAAGTGATATTCACTAAACTTCAAGCAATGGTTTTAAAGAAACAACACGTGCAGCTCACGTGAATACAAGTCAATGGTATTTTCTGTCAAAAAGATTCTTTGTACGCTGACAATGAAAGAACTGTTTGTTTTACCCTCTTGCTAGCAAGTGACTAGAACACCTGAGGCATCAAAGACAGCTACCTCCCGATCCTTACAGCTGAAAAGCAACGAAAAAAGAACGATCTGTTCCATCATCACAGCACGTGAAATATCAACCCCTTATTGCTATTATGACTGCTTCCGAAAACGATCATTCAAGCAGTTATTTGCAAATACGTATAGAGTAAACAATCACGGGCAATTTGTAAACAATGAATACATTTCTATTTTGTTAAAATTTCATATCGCACAGCGCACTTCGTGGAGATGGGAACACCTTGAGGTTGCACATTGGAATCATGTGAAGTTATCCCTGACGAGACAGGCAGGTGCTGTAGACTCGCTAGCAGTATGAATGTTCAAAAATACTTTCATAACAAAATTGCAGTTATAAGAATTGTATTTTTGACCTCGAGGGAAAAAGGGTAACTAACATGTTTGGCCTTCTAAAGTACATCGACTAAAGCTTCTGTTCAGTGAAAATGACTTCTTGCACAAAGAACTCTCAAATAAGCCAGTTCTTGAGAAAGAAGCGCTCTAAGTGCGTTGAATAAGCCTTTCTGTCTTACTACCCGTTAAACGTGAGGTGAATACAAAAGAACAATGTTACTTAATTAACAGAACAATACCGGCGACATGCCATGTAATTCTGAAGATGTTGATTTTCAATACATTCCTCTGTACACTTGTGGCTTCGCTCCAAACCTCAGGGGGTGTTGACTGTAATACTCTCATGCCTTTTCCTTCATCCTTTTGTCAATTTTAATTGCAGGTGTATGATAGAATCTGGAAAAAAAATAATATCTTCGGATTCCTCGCAAGAGTGTTGAGGCCTTCACTTTATACGTACTTGTATTCCGGAAGCTCTAAACCCTTTAAGTGCTTGACTTGTGTTAAAACGAACAATAGTGATTAGCTAGAAAGTACACTAGATCTGTTATCCTACAAGATAAAACAAGGAGATGAAATGGTCTGTCGTTTTTTAAGGGGTAACTTTAGAGTAATTCTATTCAGTGTGCGTAGACATTTCGGCGCCTGGAAGTTTTCCCGCTCACTTACAATCACAGCAGTCACTCAGCCCAAGGATTCCGACCTCCTATCAGTGATATGTCTAGCTTTGTCCAACAAGCTTAAAGAAGAACAAAATTACAAAAACACAAATTGTTCAGACTTTTTGGGGGGAATTAATTCTGATCATTCCTAAGCTAAAACAAAGCAGTAGAACGTCGCCCTTTATGTGGGGGCTATCGGTAATTAGTGTCTACATGTTACACTTTGGGTAAACATTCCCACGGATTTCTGGAAAAAGAATACACCAGAACGTAAAACTAACAAACAAAATGACTGACCTTAAGGCAGATCAAATTAGCTGTTCTCATAGATCTCGAGAACAATACAGAAAACGGGGTGTGAAATGCTTTCGGTCTCCACAAAGATGTTATTTATTTATGTCTAAAAGTTGGGACAAAAAGATTTTTGTTGCCCCGGAGCGAAGAAACCTTATTCGATCCATTGTGCTATCAATTATTCTGCTATCCTATTGTTCTCTCAGCTGTCAATCATGTAAACCCTCGATGGTGAATGACAGCTAATGGTATTTAACTTTGTTTACTTTGCGTAGTGACTAACACTATAACAATAACGTCAATCGTATCGGACTGGTTTTACTGGGTTAAGTTTCAAAACAAAACTTCAAACACGAGACACTCACGCAGTTACTACGCAAGCACACTCAACGAGGACCGGTGCTCGGGAAAATGAAGCCAATTTCAATTTATTGCATTACCTTAGTGGTCTTATTCAGTTTTTTGACCAAAGGAGCAGTCATCGTTCAAAACAGTGAAAATTTGAAAGGTTGGTGTAAATACTCATTAAAGTGTTTTTTTGTTTTGATTCATTTCAGCTAAATTTTTCGTCTTCTTCCGTTTTCAGATTTCGATGTCAGGCCCGCAAAAACACAGGTTACGGACGGATCGACAGCAAAACCTCAAACCGAAGAGGCTGAAAAACTAAAGAAGCTTACTCGGAGGGAAAAGTGCTGCAATCTCGGCCGAGATGTGGCCAAAATAGGAGAGACATGCAGGTACACGAGTAACCCAGACGAAATCTCTCCCAATAGACATTTTCACCAAATGAAAACAGCTGTTTGGAAGCGTACCAGCCATCCTATCAACCGCCGATTGCTGGCAAAATGTAAACCTCATAAAGTTTTCTACGAGAAATGCTGTAACTACGAGTATTCTCAAATCGAACAAGATCTCATCAAGGAAAGGAAAATGATCCACAGCTACTTGCGTCAATTACGGAAGAACACAGTCGAGGAAGATGAAGGAGTTTCAAGCGATGGGGGAAGCCACCCCGTCGAAGTGTCTCAAAACAGACACCGCTATAGAATCTAGTAAATAGTATGATGAACTGAAGAACTCTACATTGAACTAGATTAGAAACATCATTTAACAAAGAAATGAGAGAGCTTATTTTTAATTTTGCGTTGTAATCACTTTGTACTTATATAATCATTTGCAAACGTCATACTCTAAAGGGGAAAAAAGTTTTTCTTTATTTCTTGACGATGACGTATTTCAAGTTTCAATAACTAGATGTGAATTGACGTGGAGGTCTTTTGATCACGGACTCAATAGAGAAGGGCCTACATCAAGTATAATTGACAGTAATAGAAAATTGAAATATCGAGAATTATTATCGAACTGTTTACATGTAAATAACTTGAATGTTATTACGAGGAGTTGATGTACTTTATGTCAAGCTTCCAACATGGGATTTTGTCCAAAATCTACATTTAATTAGTGAGCTTTTTAACATCAGTTTTCTGATCCAATCTTCCTTTCTCCTTGGTTCCCACCTTTGAATGTATTTCAAGCAACCGGAGAGAATTTGAAGATTAATGTGTGGATATAGTTGTTGCGTTAATGATAGTTTTCCCTTTCCTGTTACATATTTTAAAACTTGGTACAAAATTTATTGTATTCATGATTTTTATTAACAGAACTTGTAAATAAAGAGACAGATTATAAATCGTCGTCATGGTCTTCGCTTTTGCAGTTTTCCCACGCTCTCGCAAGTATTGTGTTTGGCACACAAATAACTTATTAATTTACCCCTTTTCAAAGGTCAACAATCAGCACTGTGAAATAGGACATAAAAAGAACAGATTAAACAGACGGAGTCCTATTGTTCTCAACTTTGCACACAATGCATTTACAAACGTGAGTGGGATGGTTTTTACGCAGAATCTAAGCATCTGAAAACTTTCTTATTCTGTTTGCATGTTCTACACTTGTAGAAGTGAGCAGAGCTTTACAGATTACATAGAAACGTTCGATAACGTAGATTAAGATTGATGTGCCTTGAGGGCTTCAAAGTTCTGAAAGGGGCATTGATTCAAGATTGTTCCATCAACTTTGCGAAGCATAAATCGACTTAAGAGACACGGAACTCTCTTGAAAAGCTTAGTGACAATCTTTGTCTGCTACAAATACAAGGCATGTAGCCTTGTAAACCATTTTTAGTCAAAATCCAAAATTCTATTACACAGCTTGCAAGATGAACTTAAGATACTAGGAAATATTAAGGTCTTTCAGATTTGATGTAATATTCATACGTGTGGAATAACGACAGGAAAATGATAAAAATCTGACTTTTGCAGAGGAAACGAAACCCAAGGCGTGGAGATCACGAGTTTCTAGTACCTGTCCACCCTCTCACCGCCCACACACTAACTTGATTTGTTTTTATAAGAGCAAGCATAAGAAATTTAAGCTTCAAGACTCAGGAAACGGAAAGAAAGCTGATGTGCGACGCCGTATAAGGTCAAAAACGGAAAATTCCTCCGCCACATCTGTATATCTGACGTAAATTGCACATTACCTAGATTAGCGATTGACCAACTACAATGGTTTTGTTACTGAATAATCTGAAAACAAAACTGTTTTAATCACAACACAAACATTATAGGGTAAGAAACTCGGATTAAGTGCCTGAGATTTCAAGTCATTACATGGTTCTTTTTCCGACATCGACCTCGGTTTTTTTTCTTTTTTTCACCGGCAAATTTTTTTGGTCTCACACAAATATTTGGCGCAAATTAATCCAATAAGTCTACACTGGTCTCGACCGCAATGGGTGGTAATTTCTCACCTATAATACCCTAAATAGAAAACAGGTCGAATAAATGGCAGAAGAACCAGAACAGTGTTTCATTACTAAGAGTTGAAACTTGTATTTGGACTCGACACAGCCGGACTTTCAGCAGGTGATCTTCGTTAGTTATCAATCGTCTCATTCCATTGATTACACGCAATCGCCCGTAGGGCTTTCGAAAGTTCTTTGTACTTAAGATAACTTGTCTAATGGAATGACATAATCTTCTTTCACACGAAAGGAGTACTATTTTTGTTCAGTACAAGTCTGGTTTTTCTTTAGAAATATCAGTCTTGTCAGAAATAACCTGACAAGGAAGCTATCACTTTATTCTCATCATCTGGCCTAAGTCCCGCGACCTTCACGCAGTCCCTTTACCTTCAAAAGTACTAGCAACGATATCCCTTCCTCAAAATAGAAAAGCGCGGAATCATTACAGTTTCTGAGCCCTGTGCAACGTTTTAAACCACTTTATTGATTTTTTCCTCGCTAAAGAAAAATAAACTACACCTTCCACCTTTACCCTGAAAGGATCATGTGTTAAAAGGCTTTCCAAAAATAACATGCGAATTACAGCGACTCCCTGTGGTTGGTTCCGTGATGTAGCTATTTTTTTAGAAGTAAACGGAAATGTGAATTGTAGAGGAGCGAATTACATGATAAAAAAATTAGGAGAAAGCAGTTTGCTGCATTGAGAACAGCTTGAACAGCTCGGGAGTAAAGAAAAGGAAGGCCAAGCCACAAACTCGCAGTGATCCCAAGTGTACGCGCCTAAGACGAGCAGATGTTTTTGTCATTGCTAACTGCTTCAGCTGCAGTGAATGCTTTTTGCATGCATTTGATGCATTATTGCTTTTCTTTCACGTGCCGCCCAGAGCATTTCTTATTGCATAAATTTGTTTTTATGTTATCAAAACATTTTCCTCAACAAGTCGATGGTTTAGAGTGCTACAGTGCTGAACAAACATGACTTTGGCCTTAAATGGCGGCTTCAACTCGGTAAAGCCAGCAGATCATTAAGGCCCTCTTCAACTCAGTCAAGATAGTAGATCATGAAGGGCTGCACTCATCTCTCCCTTTCTGCTTTATGAGTGTAGCGAAGACCTTGGGATATTTTTTCTACTTCCTCTGTATTAATTAAATCTCAGATGGATTTCTCGCAAAGATGGATTATAGTCACAACGAGGATTTTGACGCAGAAACTTAAACTCGAAGTCATAGTGGCGGACTTTGTTTATGTCGTTTCGTTATTTTGAACATCGAACCTTTGAAGTTTTAAGGGATGAACGAATCAGTTTCCCCGAAGAAAAAAACACAGTGTACTTTCCTAATACAGTAATCTTTGCTGCCAGACACGGACGTTTCAAAACATGAAGGATCACAAATTAAATGCTGTACAAACAGGATGCATTCCACAGACGGGTGGAAGCAGTTTCCAGTTGATTCAAGGTCAAAGGCTTTCATCAAATACAGGATAAACAGACAGAATATTATCTATAATTAAAACAATAAACAAGATTTCCTGAAGCTTGGGGGCTAAAAATGAAAAAAAACTTCCGTAACGAATTTCCGCTTTACAACACCATTAGTGTAGCATTTCCGAATAATTGCTGAGAACTCGATTGATACACGCTATTCAGTGAGAACTTTGTCATAAACCTCTACAACAATTAACCGTCCTCGAAAGAAATTGACAATATGATTATGGAAGATAACCTAAGACTGACATATCCTAACAAAGGCCGGCGACAAAAATAAAATCCTGTCCCACCAATTTCAACAAACATCTCTGAAACATTGAATTAAAAAAACATTTCAACTTACTAGAGACGCCTCTTGAAGATATAATGTATATATATATATATATATATATATATATATCTCTTATTAGACGTTTTGGTTTGTAGCATCGCTGAGTACTTTTAAGAGTTGTACCGTAATTTGACGAGCCCGGAGGGCGAGTCAAAACACAGTGCAAAAATACTCGGCAATACCGTACATCAAAACGTTTAATAATTTTAATAATTTATTTATTGTCCAACTCCCTAAAGTTATAAGCATTTCTTATCAGGCGAGAAAATTAAAGCAGATTGAGAAGCGTAGCAAGCGCAGCCGAACGAAGGGATTTTTTTACACTACAAAATAAACAACCGTACAATGACGTGTGATATTTGTGTTCGATTCGCGCGTTATTTATACTCTACTGAGTGCAGTTGGATAACATGTACAATTACTCCTAGCTGTCTCGATATTATTAGCCGGCGTTTTTGTTGTTTAAAACAACAGTGGGCAAGCCATTACGATGCGGCGGGGTCATCTGTGATTTGTGATCATCTTCTCCATTTTTCTAACAAAGAGAATCAATTTTTGGTTTATCCCCTCCTCGTTAGTGTCTGTCAATTCTGGAAACATTGTGAGTCGCAACAAAATGACTCAAAATATGTGCTGACTCGCAGAACTTTCTGACCTTTAAACTGCTCTCAATGCCAAAATTGGGTGTTGGTTGTCCAAAGTGCAAACTCTGGAGGTAAATCTAAGCGATCAAAAGAAGCGATGAAAACAAAAAAAAAACAAAGTTTAACATTTTATCTCCTTTAAAAATAAAACGGTCTTTAAATTTAATGGTAATTATAGGGATCACAAAGGTGCTAAAAGAGGGGTCTGGACTTAAAATACTTGTGATCTAATTGCAGATGATGTGTCACTGGAATTGGACGCGAGTACTTTTCCCGTCTATATAAAGAAAAGAAAAATGAGGAAAAGAGAGATGTAATGCAACGAAAAGCGAAAGAAAAATTAGAAACAGAAATCGATACCAATTGCACCAACACAGTCGAAACCAATCGTGTTAGTGTTGCTACGTGCTGATGTTACTTTTTTCTTAGGCTCTAAGCCTGTAGAAGTTTCCAAAGTAAACAGATTATATACACTTGCCATTCCGCTAATTTCGGTCAACAAGGCGCTAATATCAAATATTTCGAGAATGTGATGATTGGTTAGCCTTCCTATACACACACACTTCGAGATGACTACTTTCTTTCACTAGTAGGCGAGTGGTGAACGCTACTACGGGGCAGTCCAAAGTCTATGACACTAAGAAACTAGGAAATTAAAAGGAGAAGATTGTTGAACTTGTACGAAAGCAATAACACAAGACGGAAACCTGTCTGAACTTTCCTGAGGCAGGATGGAAAACATTATCTTGGTAAATCATTGTTTGACACTGAAATGACTTAGAATGAAAACAAACAATTTAGAACATAGAACAATCTCCAAAAGACTGAAAAAAGAATCGATGCAATATTTTTCTCTAAACAAACACTAACAAGAGTAGGAGATCTACGGCGAGCTTTAATCAGGAGACAGATAATTCCGTCCTTGCACGTACACTTTAGTAAATAACTTCACTCACAGATGCCTCGCTTTAGAAGGAACATTTCTCACTGATAAACAGAAACCAGAGTCCGCTGGAGACAAGTTTCACTATATTAGTATTTTGACATCTTATCTTCTCCCACCTATCTACTGTCAAGAAAAAAGAGCGCCGTCTAGAAACATGTTACGTCTGTTGTTTAAGGGTAAGAACGTTAAGGGTTGCGTTACGAGTCCTTCCGCAAGCAAGGTTGGCCAGTAGAGGCGAACATGAAACAGGAGTTAGACTGTTATCAGCTCATTTCGAATTCAAGTAAAATCCAATGGGCTATCCAAGAACACCACTCCTTTGCTTGTTTTTCGGTTTCTACATCATTTTTTAAAGGACGAATTTGCTTAGAAATTTCAAATAGAAACCTGACATCTTTGGAACCAAGAAAAATCTTGCTGGAGACTTCTGTAAAAACTCGTCGAGTTTTTCAACTTTAG